TCCTCCCAGGGAGGTCTTTGCTCTAGCACAGGCTGGGGGCTGGGGGAGTGTTATCTGTGTCCCTCCCGCGCATGCGCACACAGCTCCCTCGCTGTGCGGAGTCAGCACCCCAAAGAGCTGCACCCATCCCCACCCTGAGTGGTGAGGTGTCAAAGGAGCATACCCCAAAAAGGGGAGGAGCTGCGGCCACTGGCCAATCTCCCGGTGGTGTCCAGCTTGGGACCCAAGAGACCAGGAAGAGGAGTCCAGAGAGCAACGATGGACACTTAGATAAGGCGTGGCATGGCCCGGTGCTCGCTACCAGCTTGCTTCCCGTAAACTGCTTCATGGTTTTTCTGCAAGGTGGCAGCGATGTGTGGCTTCCTCTGTCCCCTGGAGCCATCCTGTAGGTGCTCAAGTGCTGCGCTGCTGGGAGTTCCACACGCAGAGAAGTGGCCAGGCTCAGCCCGGAGATCTTCTGCTTTAAGATCCAAATGAATGTCTCAGCTCCCCTTAAGCAGCCTGAGCTGGGGGTCAGGTGCTCAGCTCACAGCAGACCTGGGAGACAGAGTTCGGGTCCTGGAACAGCCCTCTGGTCTCTCCCCAGCGCTGGAGATGGAAGAAATTGCCGCCGGATGAAAGTAAATCACTGGGAACTTTCTTAAAGTGCCAGCCTGAGGACCAATTAGAGTCTGACTTCCTCAGCCTTAGGTGAGGCCGGGAGTCACCAACTCTGGCCGGTTCTGTTGCCCTGGGGAGCTGCACACAGTGAGTGCCTCTGGGTGCCCTGATGCTGCATCGAAGGCCCCAGAAGAGCATGCAGTCTGCAGCCCACTCCTGCCTGCCCAAGGTGTCTACTGGCACAACCGCCAGCTGTCTGTGGCTCATGAGACCTGGGCCTCTGCCCACTTCTCACTGGTGGCCCAGCAGGCAAGGGGCTGAGTCCAGCATCCCTCCAGGAAAATAGAGAGCTGAGGGCATCCGTGTGGCTGCTGGCGTGCTGTCGGGAAGGACAGAGACATGCAAGTCACAGACACGGCAGTGGCCTTTCCTAGGGTTCACCAAGGAGGCAGGACCTCCGTTACATTTGGCCAGAGGGCCAGACCTCAAGAATGGAGAGTTGATTCACTAGGATCCTCAACTTACAGTGCCTTCACCTCTACCTGACGTCAGAAAAGGGGGGGGGGGGGCGGGAGTGTTTCTGGCACGCCCAACATGTCCTCATGACATTACTGTAAGTGGCATTCTCTCTTATGGAAAAGAAACAGTACCCCAGCAGATGGGGTCTTGGTTCATTCAGGTTGTTGTAACGAAATACTGTAGACTGAGTGGTTTGTAAAGGGTAGAAACTTATTTCTCAGGCTGGGGGCTGGAAAATCTAAGATCACGGTGCCAGAAGCTTGTCTGGTGAATGCTTGCTTCCTGGTTCTTGCCGTGTGTCCTCACAGGGCGGAAAGGGCAAGTGTGTTTCTGCAGGCCTGGGGCTTAGGATTCCACTGCAGGGATTCCAGCATTCAGACCACTGCCGCAGGGTCAGGTAGGTTTCTGTTGGGCTGTCCTGGAAAACCGTCCTAGGAGACTTGGCACGGTGGCTGAGGGAATGTGCATCTGACCTCCTTAAGAGTTGCAAACCAGCTCAGGGAACATCATCTGCTTGTGCCTCAGTGACCACCTCTGAGACTTGGTCCTCGAATATTCCTGAGGAGGCTGGGCACAGCCCAGACTTGATGCCCGGCACCCAACAGGAACCCATCAGTGAGGACTTCAAATGGGCAGCCTCACATAGGGGATTGGAGGCTCCGCTCCGCAGGCCAGCAGCAGGGTAGGGCTGGCGAAGGGTGCACAAAGGGGCAGACCGAGTACTTCTGGGCTATGAGACCAGGCGTCCTTCCCACCCACCAGAAGGTCCAAGGTACCATTGCAAAGTTCTGCCCCAGAAGACAGAAAAGCTACTTATCAACTGAAAGAATGTTATCCTTGTCTCTGCATAGGCGATCAGTGAGGCATAGCTCATTCCAGCAGGAGATGTGGGCAGACACAGATGCCCCAGGGAAAGGATGCTCTGGGCTGTGATCTCAACCCCGTCTGAGCTACATGGAGTTTGTCGAAGGATCCTGAGTGCAGTGACTTTGCAGACACACTGTGCTCAGAGCCCAAATGATTTTAAGAAGCACCAAGTGACTGGATGTTAGATCCTTTACCTAAATTTGGTTTGCATGTTTTTTGCCTTATTTGGGGACATATAAAAAATGGAAAGAAAAGGAAATAAAATTTTTGTTTGTTTGTCAGAGCTGGAGTGTAAAGTAATAAGAAAGAGCTGGGGATACACTTCAGTGGGAGAGCATTGACCTTGCTTATGGACAGCTCTGGGTTTGATGCCCACCATAGCAAAAAGAAATTATACATATATATATATATAATATATATATATATATATTATGAATTAAATTGCAATGGAAAATTCTGTAAACTTACTCATAGATTAACTAATGGTCAACTTTTAGCATCCAGCTGAAGTGAATCAGCATGGTTCTGGTGTGTGAGGCCCATCTGAGGACTATTGCCAGTATACTAGGGAGACCTGGAGAGGAAGATGGTGCTGTTGGTTCTCCTGGAGAAGCTTGGCACAATGGCTTCCTGAAATGAACTCAGCTGTTTTCATCATCAAAGAGCTTGGGTCCTTGCTGTTGCTGAGGAAGCTGGGGCTCTTTTTAGGGGAGCTCTGGTCCTTACTTTGAGTGTCACTTCCTGGCTCCAGTGCAGATCCCTCAGCCTGCTGACACAGACTTTCTAGCTTCTACCACTGACCTTTGGGCCTTCACAGTGCAGACCCTTGATACAATGAGACATTGTCATGGGCACCAGGTATTCAGCTGGACTCATGGAGGACATTGCCATGAGATCCAGGCTGTTATAGTCAGGGGTTGTGAGGAGAACAATTACAATCAGGACACAGAATTTATAATATTTTATGATGGTCACCCAGAGTTAAACACAAAAAAGTGCAGGAAATCCACAGCATTAAAGACACAGAATATTTAGCCAAAGACCTGGATCCCACAGCAATGTCCTGCATGAATCCAGATGAAGACCTAGAGCCTATGACAATGCCTCCCACAAGTCCAGCTAGAGGTCTAGAGCCCATGAGAAGGACTCATGCCAGTCTGTTTTATGGATCTGTGCTGGGAAGGCCCAAAGGAAGCTAGAAAGTCTATGCCAGTGGGGTAAAGAAGCTGTGTTGGTACGTTAAGGGTTCTAAACTGGAGCTGAGAAATCATGCTCAAAATAAGGACCAGGGCTTCCCTGAAAAGTACTGCACCCATCCTCAGTGACACAAGGATCCCAAGCTCCTCCAACAAGAACAGTCGAGTACATGCCAGAAAGCCAGCATGATAAGCACAAGCTTCTCCTGAAGATTAAGCTGCACACATCTTCTCCTCCAGAGCTAGTAGGTGAGGCTCAGTGTAAGGACTAGAGCTCCCTCAAAGTGAACCACAGCCACTCCCACCAACAAGGTTCTGAGCTCCTCCAATGACAATGGTCAAACTCACACTGGGGAAGCTCATCATGATGAGATCCTCCTGGAGAACGACGACTCAATCAGCAACACTTAGAGAAGCCACAATGACTCACTCACCTTCTCTATGTCTCTATTTATGCTGGCAACTTTCCTTAGGTGGCCATCTACACTCAGCACCATGCTGATTTAATTCAGCTGGTGTTAAGTTGACCACCAGGTTTTAATCTGTAACACAGGCCCTCAGCTGGACTCGTGCAGGACATTGCCGTGGGATCCAGGCCCTCGGCTGGATTCTTTGGGTCTCTAGTGTGTGGAAAGATCTGAACTCTTTTGCATTTGACTCTTAGATGACTATTATAAAATAACTCCATAAAGCAAGTGTCCTGTCTTATCTTCCCTTGTAAACACTGACAACACCTGCAAAATGTCATCATGTCCAGATGGGAGGAGGTAGAGGGGGGTTGTGGATATCTGGAGGCAGATGTTCACAAATTTGTGCACTTCAGAAGGTGCACTAATTGCTATATTGAGCCGTTTGTTTTAGGGTTGCCTGTTATAGCACAGCTATGCTAAACACTGGATGAACAACAGGACACAATGGTGCCCCACATTCAGTGTGTGTTTTTGAGAACTGGAATTCAGTTCCCTTTATTGGCAAAGGCCAATAAAGGAGTAAGATGAGACTTCCTTGAGACCCACTGAGAAAATAAAGAACTCGGCGGTGGGGGGTGTATGTGTGTGTGGCATAGCATGGGGGGATGTCAGTCACTTGTGGCATAGCCAGGAGGAAGGTGTTGGGGTGTCTGGTGCCCCAAATTGCTTATAAAACAGGCAAAACCTGGCTGTGGGTGCCTGGGAATTACGCAGCAGCTAGCAATGTGGACATCACGGCTCCGTCCCATGTCGTACTGGCTGAGGATATTCCTCTGCCTCACTTCCAGATGTCGCAGCCACAGGACCACTCTTCGGTGTGAAACCTTAGGTCTGAGGAGTGCATCCTGCGTGGGACACGCCTTGCTGGGCACACAGGCGCCCACATCTCAGATGCAGCCATGCCGCCCGCCCTCTGCTCATTCCTGAGCCAGCCACAGCAGTGAGGTGAGATTTCCCAATGGCTCCCGAGCTGACAGGCAGGACCTGGTGCAGAAGCAGATCCAGACTTGCTGGCCCCTCAGAGATTACACAAAACTGGCCCAACCTGGACTGCCATAGCCCGTGGGAGGCACAAAGACACCACTGCCGACCGGGGAGCAGATGTGCGCTTGCGCCCATGGGTCTGGGGCAAAGCCCACTTCCCATGCCCTGTGCCTGCGTATGTCCTGTGCCACCAACAGCAAGGGGACACAGCCTCCTTTTGGCTCTTGAGGCTCTGGAGGACACAACTCCTGGATCCCAGCCCTTCTGTGCTCCCTTTAACTTCATTTCTTGCCTTCTTGCTGGGCAGGAAATTAAATACCCATCGAGCAGGACAGTGTGGACACATTCATAAAAGAGGCCAAGATAAAACACTGCTCCCATAAACAGGGATTTTATTAAACTACCTGTTACATAAAAGCACATATAAATGGACCTTTAAATAATTCAGTTCATCTTCAACAAATTTATATAGAAACATATTTACAATTCTCCACTGTATACTTAAATTATTTTCCACACTTACTACCGATAAAAGGTAATAGAATGAATGATCACCTGCTCGCACAGATGCATGTGGCCATTGCTGGGCCAGGACACCACTGCCTCGGGGACTCGGCCTCAATGGCCTCACAGCATCAAGCCACCCTATGAGGCTTCCTCCTGAGCAGCCCTGGGGCAGCCTCTGCTTTAGGGTGGTGGATACTGGCCCCACGGAGAAGCTCACCCCTAGCAGAGTCAGGGCCTCGGGCTAGAAGGACCCCTGGAGACCAGCAAGGAGGCTGTGCCCACAGGTGTGGACTGGGAGACAGATGCCGAGGGACAGGAGGATCTGCCACATTGCATCAAGTCACAGCAGGTCCCTCCTAGAAGCCCTGAGCCCTTTGCCGTCCCCAATCTACAAGCTCATGACCCCTCCCAGCCATTCCCTACCCAAGCTCGTGCCCCGTGTTCAGGACCTTTCCATCAACCTGGACGGAAATGTATGAAATATTCGTGTCTTGGAGACCACAAGAATCTGCTCAGGAGTCCCACATTTGTGCCCGTTCAAAACTGCTTTTCACAAGAGGCTGTGGGCAGGGCCTTGCTCTTCAACCCCAAGGCTTGCTCTAGTGTTTCTGATGAAAGGCACTGTTCTCTGGAGGGAGGCTGTGACACAGGGACCTGCTGTGAGCGCCTGCCTTCGCCTCTGTCCACCCCAAGTGGAGGGGGAGGCAATTTGTGAAAAGAAGAAACGTTTAAGATCTCTCTTATTTCCCACATCTCAGGGAGAGGTAGTGGAACAGGAGCTGAGTAGAAATTGGGCTCTCTTTTGAATGAAGCCTGATTTTTTTTTTTTTTCTCAAAAAAACTTTCCTGATGATAAACTCTTTTGGAATCAATTTCAATGTTTGGCCTGCTTAAAACAAAACAAAACAAGCTGGTTTGGATTTCCTCGGGATTTGAAAACAAGGAAGCGATGAGAACACTGAGAAGTGTCATAGAGAGGAGGGGTGGATGCTGTATGGGAGAGAAAGCTCCTTCGGGCTCTGGGTGACCTCAAGAAAGGGACAGCATGGGAAGCCGAGGGGAGGCGGGGGAAAGGAGGCCACAGACAGAGGGTTTGCTCTCCTGTCATCACAGCAGCCTTCATCAGGTTTTAGGACAGACATGCAAAGGCGGAGGCAGAACAGGAAAGGCTGCTCTGCTGAGAGCGCTTGATGTCCTCCCATAGCACCTGGACATGGAGGGGAATCCTGCAAACATTTGCAGGGGAGCTCCCCACAGCCACATGCTCCCCTCACCTCCGGGCTAAGACCCTCAGCACCCTAAATACACAGGAGGGTCAGCCTTCTGTCCACTTGAGTCTGATGGCCCCTCCATTCCCATACAAACCCTCACCCAGTCACTCAAGGCGCAGTGAGCCAGTCTTCCAGGACCTGGGGCCAATCCAGCAACCTAAAGGCCCTGCCCGAGGCCAGTGGTATGATGTGCCCGAAGGTGGGCCCCTGAGACCAGGGAACTCTGGAAGATACAAGTATCTTTGTAACAAGGACACCCTTTGCTCGGGAGCCATTTCAACTCCCTACAGGAACGGACTAAAACGTTTTATTTTCATAATACAGTATTAAAAAATAAGTCTTTGGCCAGGCATGGTGGTACATGCCTGTAATCCCAGCATTCAGGATGCTGTGGCAGGAGGATCACCACGTGGTCAAGGCCAGTTTGGGCTACATAGTGAGTTCAAGACCAGCCTGAACTGGGTTACATAGGAGACCCTGTCTCAAAAAAAAAAAAAAAAAAAAGAAAACAAGACAAAACAAAACAAAAAGTCTTCGATTTATACAGACTGGCCAGGAAAAAAAAAATTTTTTTTTTCATGTCATCTTCATCGCCGTTGCTTGTGGACCTTGGCTCTGCGGGAAGCAGCTGAGCTGGGGTTCGGATGCCCGCACATCCACACTGCCTCTGTGGCGGGACCTTCAGCGACACTTCTGTCACGGATGGCCTGTGCTGTGGCCCCTCACTTCCACAGGGGCTCGAGGATTCGCCCCAGGGCGGTGCGTGCTGGGCCTTGCTGTCTGGGGGCGCCCCGCTCCCCAGCCCTGCTCTTTGAGGGGGCCTCTGCGCCGGCGCCAGGCCCCTCGCCTGCCTCAGAGCTCCTCCTGGGGACCCTGGCGCTGCTGGTGCGCCGCAGGGTGCTGTCCGTGTCCTCGGGGCCGCCCTTGGCGCGCAGCTGCCGCTGGGAGGCCGTGCGCATGAGGCCGGGGCCCCGGGGTGCGGGCTCGGGGCGCACGCAGCGCGATGCCGAGGCCAGCGTGTTCCGGGCGAAGCTGGGGACGCTGGGGGCGGCCGGGCGGGGCTTGTCCTCGGGGCTCAGGGGCTCCTCCGGCTTCGGGCGGGGCACGGCCCGCAGGGGCTTGGCGCTGGGCTTCCTCACCGAGCCCTTGGGCTGCAGGGGGCTCTCCTTACCCGGCCGTGCGTTGCCGCCGCCCCGGGGCACCCGCTGCTCCTCGGGGCCCGCGTCCTGGGTCCCCTTCAGGGAGCCGCTGCGGGCCGGGGCCGCCTCCCGAGGCGGGTTCCGCGCCGGAGGCGGCTCCGGAGTCTTCCCGGCTCTTGCTCCACGGCCGCCCTTGGCGAGCGGCACCACCTTGCGTAGGCCCTGGCTCTCTGACGCCGTCAGCGTCCGCACCGGCCTAGGCTCTGTGCCCTGGCCCCGCCGCCCACCTCCCGGCCGCTCTCGGGGCGCCTCTCGGCCAGAGCCGCGCCTGGGCACCGGGGCCTCCTTGGCCGGGGCTGGCCTGTCCCGGGCGCGGCCGCCCTTGCGGCCGGGCTCACTGGGCGCCGAGTCTGTCGCGGAGGCCTCGCTGGAAGCCGGCATGGGGGAGGCCGGGCTGCGCCCCTCCGCCTCCGGCCAGGCCCCATCCTCCAGCCGCCCGGGCTCAGAGCTCTCCTCCGAGCAGTCCAGCGTCAGTGAGCAGTCAGTGGCGTCGGAGACACTAAGATGGTCCCCATGCTCCAGGTCGCCACTCCCCGCAGGTCCCAAGGCCTGGCTTCCTGGTTCGTGGGGGGTTGCGGCCTCCGCCTCTGGGGCCTGGCTAGGAGCCTCCCGGGGACCCTTGTCCGCAGCTGTTGTGCTGTAGCTTGGGGACCGTGGGCTCCCAGGCCCAGGGATGACTTCGTTCGGGGTATTCAGTGCTGTCTCCTGTGAGCCCTTGGGATCCCCCAGGCTGAACCGGGCGAGCCCAGTCACCAGTTCGTGTTCCTTGACGCCCAGAGCCAGTGACGGGAGCGGGGGGCTCCCAGCAGCCCCCAGGCCACCTGGCTCACTGCTCCGCTTTTGGAGGCCGCCGGCCTGGTGCCATGCTCGGGGGACGGCACCTGTCTGCTCTGCGGGCTGGGGCACGTCGGGGGCCTTCGGAGGTCTGTGTGGGGAGGTAGGGTGGCAGTCCCCAGCGCCCCCAGGTTGCATACTGGCAAGCGTGGGCCTTGCCAGCCGCCGGCCACGCCCAGGCAGAGTATTGAACTTGGGCTCTTCCAGTCCGCCGGTGGCGCTCTCCAGGAAGGACAGCAGCTCACGGTCTGCGGAGAAGCCCAGCGAGTGGCGGGAGCGCCGAGTGTTGGGGGGCCGGGCAGAGGGGCTGTCAGGCCTGGGGTGCAAGAAAAGGGCCAGGTCCTCAGTGCCCTTGTGGGTCAGCAGTTGCATGTCAGTCTCGCTGCTGCTGCGGATGAAGCCCCCCAGCTCCCCTGCGGCCCAGGAATGCTGCTTCTCTTCCAGGGCTCTCAGCCGCTGCTGCTGCCTGGACTCCTGCACCTCCCGCTCCTGGTTGTCCTGGAAGGAGGTGGAGACAGATAAAATGCATGCAGCATGGGAGAGAGGGGTGCAATGACAGGGTGACCAACCTGAGCCGCAGGGCCATGGCAGAGAGAGAGGGTGGGGTGGGGTCCCCACACTGAAATTCGCAGGCAATGGGGGAATCTGACAGGAGGGATGCATTTGGCCTGGCCCCAGCAATCTGTCCACAACTGTCATGTAATCCTGGGCCCGACTCCCAGGCTCCACCCACCTCCCTCTGTCCCTTCCATGAGGGCTCGGATTCCACACATGCCTGCGACCTCCACACCAAGGAAGCCAACTCAGCCCCTAGGCAGACAAGCATGGTGGGAAGACACTCTGGGAAGCCCTGGGCAGGGGGACACAGAGAGGAGGAAAGAATGACAGGCACTCAAAGGCTGCCACTACCACTGCAGGTCTGTGTCACATGAATGTGATCACAGGCACATTCACACCCAATGCCTCGAATATATAAATGTATGCCCAAGAAATGAAGAAATGCCTTTCAATTCTGTTCTCTGACTGCTCTCTGGTAAAGAAACATCACAGGTGCCTTGGTGGCCCTGCCAGCCGCACCTTGTAGCAGAAGGTTCTGTTCCTTGTACCCTGCCCTGACCCCATGGAGGGGGTTCGGACGAAGAACAGGTGTGCTTTACAAACACTTTGGCCTTCACAAAGCAGCCCTTTGCAACAAAACTGAGTTAGCACGAACTCACTCCACCTGCCTGTGTGATTTAATATGCAGCTGTCCCTCAGAATCTGCAGGGAATGGGTCCCAGGGCCCCCTTGGATGCCAAACTCGGAGGATGCTCCAGCCCTTTGTGCAAAATGATAAGCTATTTGCATAACCTACGCATGGCCTCACGTATACTTTAAATCATCTCTGGATTGCATACAGGTCCGATGTAATGGGAGTGCTATGTAAATAGCTGCTACTCTGTATTGTTCAGGGAATATGACAGAAACAGTCCGCACGTATCCAGAACAGATGCAGTCTGACAAATGTATTTTCAGTGTGGCTGGTTGAATCTGTAGATGTGGAACTATGGATACTACGAGCTAGCTGCATTTGTGTCACAAATCACAGATCTCTTTTGGGTTGTGAGATAATATAATCATGTAATTATATGGATCTCATAACCCAAATTTGTTGTTGTGAGCAGTTTTTATGTGAAAATCAGTTTTCTCCTACAGTGGACTTTCCAGTCTCTGTGAGCCTCTGGCCAGGGCTCTTGGCTCCTACAGCGGAGCTTCCCCAGGGGTCCCAGAGCCTTCCTGCCTCGCCTTGTCCTAACAAGGCTGCCCATGGTCTGGGGGAGGGGCCAGGTGCAAGGTCCTGGCTGTCTGGACAGCTGGGCTGGCAATGACACACAGGTGGCTTCCGAGGCCTGAGGGCCTCAGAAAGGGCTCATTGGCCCCTGCCACCCCCATAGCCTCCCACAGCTGAGCTCACTGCTTGGACAGAGGCGATTGAACGCTGGATAGAAAGGGAAAAAGGGAGGGGCTGGGAACAGAAAGCAATTCTGGGCTTGGGAGAAACGTGACCTTCTCAGAACTTCAGCTTCAGACTCATCTGTGTTTAAAATGCAGGGGAAGAGTACAAGGCCCTGGCAGTAAACAAGCAAATAAATAGCAGGCAAGATGTGACTCAGAAGCACCTGGGTCCTCATCGCCTGCTGAAATGGCGGTGCAAACGGCTATCTTGTGTTTAATTGACAAAGCTTTGAGTTGCTCAGCCAGGTAGCCCAGAGAGCTTTCCACTCAGAGAGCCCTGACACAGTTGCTGGAAGGCAGGGGGTGCGGCGGCCATGCTTAGCTCAGAGGCAGCAGCCTGCCCAGGTCATGCTGGCACTGTGGCAGTGCCCTGGCACTGGAAACAGATGATACGGAAGGGCTTTTCCAATCATCTCCCTGTAACAAAAGTCTCCCCGAAAGTGGAAAACCTCTTCTATAAAGGGGATAAATGGGCAAGCCCTGGAAGTGACTTTTAATACTGTGACTCTTATCAGGAACAAAGTCTGCCATCAAGATGCTTCCTGGCCATTGCGATGCGTGTAATGCTCAGCATGGAAGGGACAGAGGTAGCCCATGAAGCCCTGGCTCCCAGTGTCCCTGCAGGCTAAGGCGGGCCGGGAGGGTTTTCAGCCACAGGCAGGGGACTGGGTCTGCGGGAGAAACTTAAATCTCCACAGGACTTGCAAGCTTTAAGAAGCCGCCCGGCCTTACCTTCACTGCTTTGTTGAACTTGGTGCAGAAGTCTCTAAATATCTGCAAGCATTCATCCAGGGTCATGGTTTCCTTGTCTTCACAGAAAAAATCGATAAGGGTGTGGGCCTCACTCTGGAGCTTCTCTTTCCACTGTTCCAGGTCTACCAGCTTTGCCGTGGCACACTGCAGACAAACAACAGGGATCCACGGACGTGAGCAAGTTAGTGAAGTGAGGCCACAGCTCTCCTGGTACACTACTGGGTTTGGTTCGTGGCCTGAGCAAGGACAGTGCCAAGTAGAAAGTCACCCCAAACAAAACTTCCAGGTCACTGCATGAGACCCAGGAGCCACAGACCAGATCAAGAAGCTGAGTGTAGTGGTGAGCACCTGTAGTTTCAGCTACCCCAGAGCTGAGGCAGGAGGATTGCTTGACTCCAGAAAGAACGAGGCCAGTCTGGGCAACATACTAAGAGTCTATCTCAAAAAGCATGAAAGATTCAAGAACTTTAACTTACACTGTGCCACAAACAAAATTTTCACCAGCAATGTCACTGGAAAGCATGATCCAGGTATACAGCTGATTTCACTAAGAAACATTTGTTCTTTTTTCTCTTAAACTGACTCTCACATGGCCGAAGGTTTCTTTTTAGGGTCTCCGAAGTTCACTTGTACTGAGGAGCTGCCCATGCTGCCCTGTTAATTCTAAGAAGCTCTGCTGGGGTCTGGGGCTCCCCTAGGATTAAAACGCTCAAGCCTAGATCTGGGGTGTTATCCCAGCCAGCTGGGAAGCTGTGGCAGAAGCTCATGCCTGTACCCCCTCAGGTGACTGGGTGGGCCCTGAAATTATATTTTACTAAAACTCTGCAGAAGGGCCCAGTGGGCTCTATGGTTAGGAATTACCATCCCATACACATTCTCTGTCTACTACATAGTGTTTCCTAATGCTTCCCCGAGCCCTGGCTTGGAGGCCTCTGCGAGCGGTGGGGACGGAAGTAGCCTGCTTTTCCCATGAGCGTCCAGGCCCTCTGGGATGGGATCTGCTTGCCCAAGGCCCAGAAACACACTGTATCAATACCAGTGTGTGTAGGGGGGCAGCCTGGTGACAGGCAGGCAGGAAGGACCTCACCACCTCCGGAGACTGCATGGGTGGAGTCGCAATGGAGCCTGACACTGCGTTCTTGTTTACTGAGGAAGCAGGAATGCAGGAAATATGTTACTTTATGGAAGAGCATGCATCTTGTTTTTTAAAGGCTCATGTTTGCAAAGCTATTCCTGAGTGAGGAGGCTGGGCCCGCAGTGTGGGAAAGCTGCAGATTCCCCTGCGAGGTGGCCAGCTGCTGTCTGAACACGCTTGGCTGGCCAGTGCAGGGCCCAGGGAAATTCCTCTAAGACTCCCCACCTCCCGCAGTCCCAGCCACTCCCCCAAGGCCCAGCTCATTCTGGAGAGGGCAGGAAACAAAGCTATTCAGGAAGCTGGATGCTGGGGAGCACAACCCTGAGTCAGGCGCCCAAGGCAGCATGTGCCTGGGCACCCAGTCCTCGGTGGAGAAAGACATCCAGGAGGGCAGGGAGAAGCTCTGTAGTCACTTTCCTGCAGCAGGAAGGCGGGTTCCAGCCAAGGACAGCTCAGCTGCAGGCAAGCAAGGACCCAGGCGGAGCCCGGCCCCACCTTGGAGCCTCCTCTGCTCACTGGAGGGGTGGATGGACCCCGGGGAGGGAAAGCCTGGCCAGCAGTGTCAGGAAAATGAAACACTGAGAGAGAACCACGGGAAGCTCCAGATGCTCAGAGGGGCCTGCAAAACACAGGCCGCTGTCATCTCCCTGCCTGACACCCTCCAAAGGCCCCCACTGCGTGGGCAAGGAGTCCCAGGTTCTCGGACTGGCTCTCAAGGCCAAACCCTAACCCAATGAAGTCATTTTCATCTCATCTATTTAACAAGTTTAAACCAAGTGGTGCAAGCCTGTAATCCCAGCCCTCTGGGAGACAGAGGCAGGAAGACCACAGATCCAGCCCAGCTGGGGAACTTAGCCTAGCCTCTGTTTCAAAATCTAAGAAAGGGCTGGGAACGCAGCTCTGTGCAAAGGCTCTGGTCCTAGAAAAAAGTAACAGCGGAAAGAGGAGCAGAAGAAAATAGGCTGACTTCATGAGGAAAAAAAGACATGGCGGGGGATACAGAGATAAAAATGACTACCAGACAGCAGGTGTAGTGGTGTACACCTATAATCCCAGCATTCGGGAGGCTGAGGCAGGAGGATCACTGTGAGTTCCAGGCAGCCTGGACTACATGGTAAGATCTTGTCTCAAAAACAAGCAAAGACTACCAGGCTGGGGGTACAGAACTATCTTTAGGTTCCATCCCCAATACTAAAAGAAAAAACAAAAACAGAACACAACACTACTGGAAAGAAGAGTTAAAGGATTAAACTCACTTTTGAAGAGTAGGCTGGAGATAAAAAAGGAGAATCCTTCTTCAGCCTAAACCTTTCTGTGTTAAGATTTAGTAGAAAATAAGAGCTGGGGACGTGGCTTGGTTTTAGAGCACGTGTTTAGTATGTTAGAGGACTCAGGTTCAATCCCCACCAAGGCAAACAAAAAAAATAGTGTAAGATATCTACCAGGTGTGATGCACATACCTGTAATCCCAGAATTTGGGAAGCTGAGGCAGAAGGATTGCTGTGAGTTTAAGGCCAGCCTGGGCTACACAAGCAAATTCTAGGCTAGCCTGTGCAAGACCTGGTATGTGTGAGGAGGGATATTAATACTTAAGAACTTGGGACTGTCCATTTTATTTATTTTAAAATGTATGGTGCTGGTGATGGAAGCTACGGCCTCAGCCATGCTAACCATATGCCCTACCACAGACCCACACGCCCAGCCTAGCAATGAGAACCTTAGTCCTGATGTGGGATGGTCCTTATTTATGAATTTCTGAATGTGTTTTGTTACATCTGATTATGCCTGACTACTATTTCATGCTTTTGTGGTGCTGGTGATGGTGAGATGGAGATGGTTATTACTGCACGTTAAGAAAAATGTATATACCTGAAGGCCCAGTGTGGTGCAGCATGCCTGTAACCCCAGCACCCAGGAGGGTAAGGTAGGAAGATCACTGTGAGTTTGAGTCCAGCCTGGTCTATTGTGAGTTCAAGGTCAGTCTGAACTACACAGAGACCCTGTCTCAAAAAACCAACCAAGCAAGACAACAAACAAAAAAATGTGTGTATCTGAAAGGGAAAATCAGCTTGGTTATACGTGAAAGCAAATATGGAGCACGTGTTTAATAATAAAACTAAGCTCACAGCAAAACCAAACAAAACCTAGTGTTTGCTGATGTGGGCTGAACTCCTAAGATTTCAAAGGAGACCAATTAAGGCGCGCGGGCTTTGGTGGCTCTGCCTCAGGAGCACGGCGTTCCTGCCCAGTGCCAGGCCCTGCCTGTCACTCAGATTCCATCTCGGGGAACCCTGAGAGCTGACTGCATTTCAGGTGGCACCCCGCGTCCCAGAGGGCCACGGTGGCACTTTTCCTTTTTGCAAATAAGGGAGATAAGAAGAGCTTGTCAGGCTCTGCCATGAATGAGTCACCATGAGCCCTGGAAAACACCTCGGCCCCCTGCTGTCTGCTGCCCAGGCTCCTGGCACGCCCGTGGGGCTGATGTACTCGGGTGCTGATCGAGTGTGTGTTCTGCTCTCATGGGAAATGGAGCCAAACACAGCTCACCCTCCCACACACAAGTGAGGAAGAGGCCAGGTCCTACAGTGATGATGTCTACAGACCGTGTTCTGCCATATAAAAATCTGACTGCCTTAAAAGCAAAACTTAGGCAAGTGGAAGTGCCCTAAGCTGATGAAGGTCACAGTACAAAGGCCCGGCTACAGAACTTAAAGAGTGACAGGCAGGAGTCCCCCCTAACCAGAGACCCTGGCTTTAAACCATGAGCGATATCCTGAGCCACAGTGGGGCTCCGGGTGTAGAGGGTGCGTGCGCTGGTGCAGGGGAGGAGCATGAACGCATGCCCTGGCTGGGGCTGGTGCAGGGCAAGAAGATCAGAGGGGCCGCCGCGGTCACCTACACACCTGAAGGAAATCTGCCATCTGCTGATACAGCTCCCCATCCCGCTTTATGTTTTCCTCCAGCGATTTCGTCCTGAGCGTCAGCGACTTCAGCTCTGCCTCTGTGTTATCCAGAGATAATCTACAAGAAGAAAGAAGCAAGTGGGCAGCTGGCACCAGGACGCCGGGTTTCCTGTGGGGATATCACACGCAACCTATCTCTGGCCCGCCCTGGAAAGCAAAGGGGCAGCCGAGCAGCCTGCCTGCCTCGCCCAGCCTGTGGACGGCGGGTTTCCATCTGGTGGTGCTGGTTGTTTTAAGGAGAGTATTTCCTAAAAACACAGGCTGGCACACGGCACATGCTGTCTCTGTTCCTGCAGATGAGAGAACCAGAGCCCGGGGCTCTGGAAGCTTCTGGTAAACTGGAGCTGCGCACCTTCATGCAGTGAGCATTGGAAAGGCAAAGCCGCCGGACCCCGGGAGGCTCGGGTCACTCAGGGACACCAAGCAGGTTTCCCAAGGTTCCCACTGCGCTTCACGGGGAACTGAAACACAGGTGAGTCTGCGCCACACGACGGTGCTACGTGGTGCTTTGGTTTCAAGATACGCAGATGGTGCATGAGTGCCAATGAAGTGAGCAGGTGAAGCCCAAACTCCAGGAGGAACCCGTACAGCAGGATGCATCACTCTCCCATTGTCGGTGCTAATTCTTCCGGTGGAAGGAAGGTTTCCGCCTCTGTGGGCCGCAGGCCCCTTGAGAGCTGACTGTGGATCTTACTTTCCATGTCTAATAAGCAAACCTTTCTGAAAAAGGAGTTTTCCAAGGTAGTATCTAGCGAAACTTCTGATGCAACTCTGACTGGAAATACCAGTTTAAAAACGTAATGATACAGAGTAGTGGTGTACACCTGTAACTCCACCTGCTTGGGAGGCTGAGGCAGGAGGACCACAAGTTGGAGCCCAGCCCAGGCAACTTCGAGACCCTGTCTCAAACTAAAATTTTAAACCAGGCATGGTGGTGCACCCCTGTAATCCCAGCACTTAGGAGGCTGAGGCGGGAGGATTTGCTGTGAATTTGAGGCCAGACTGAGCTGCACAGTGGAACCCTATCTCAAAAAGACTGATAAATAGACAAACAAAAGGGCTGGGAAACTCAGTAGCAACCCTAAGATCTAATTTTTCCTTATAGAGAGCTCTTAGATATGTATCTATCATATCAGCATAAAAATATTCCCACACATTTCTCTTAGTGGTTCAAACACAGAGGTTTGTGTCATGTAAGTTGCTGTTTTTTCTGGAGAATAATGCAGTGACCTGTGAACATGAGTCAGGAAGTGCTCCCACTTTTGCACTAATAATCCCACTTTGGAAAAGGCATAGTCTGTGGTTAATGTCCACAAAGTCTGTAACAGTGACACACCAGCCAGTGACAGGGCCAGAGCTCCGGCTCATCTGTGGCCACACACAGGGCTCATAGCTGTCACTGCTGGCAGCAGTCACATAATTAGTACATGACAGAGCTAGGCAAAGTGCTGCCCGCTGTAGTCCTGACCACTTAGGAGGCTGAGGCAGGAAGATGACCTGACCCCAGGAGTTTGCAACCACCCTGGGAAACACAGCAGGACCCTGGATGGAAAAACAAGTTCATGCTACAATGGTGAGCTGACCCACACGGCAAGAGGCAGCCTGGGGGTCTCACTCTCCCTTCCTGCCTTTGCTAGTCCAGCTCGGCAGCCTGAGATCAGCTGGGCAACAGTGATTACGGAATGAAGACTGGAAAACGCTATAAATCAGGACTTTTTTTTTCTTCTAGAAAAACTGGTTCTTTGAAACATTCACCTTGAGATGTGTAGTATGTGTCATAAGCTGAAAAACAGAACTCAAAGTAGTACACATGCACAGGCTGTAACCATATTAAAGTATGCATGGCTGTGAGGATTAGAAGTGTATTAGGATGATGTAATTAGAGCGTTCTGTTTGGTAGGCACTTTCTTGGTAAAGCGCAGTGACTAATTTAAAATCAAATCCTTACACAGCTCTTGGTATGGTTCCAACCCTTTTAATGCAATAAAAAATAAATGTACCATGTTAGATTCTACAAGGAAACAGTGACGGATGGCCCTGGAAGCCTGACTGATCTAGACCAACTACTGAGCTAATAAGCTGTCGTGTTTGAATTCTATCTTCTGGGTGTGGAGGGATTTGAAGTTCTTAGTCTGCATCTTTTTCTTTTTACACTGATGAGATTCATTAAGATAGACTAAAATAGTTCTTAGTACTATTTTTAAAAATAAACTTTTCCAAACCCCCATGTTCCAGCAAGTGAAAAGAAAGCCTCGCAGTCCGACATGACAATACCTTTTACATTTCAAACCTGAAATCAAAGGCTGTTACTGATCAGCAGTTTTCACGGCAAGGTGCTGACCACGGGATTCTCACTACGCACTTCTGCCTTCTTTGCTTACCTCGAAGCCTCCTGAACATGACACAACTTTCCAGAAAAGTGTAGAAGGATGGAATCTTTCTTCTGGGCTTCCTGAAACAAAAACAGAATTTTCTCTCACCAGAGAGATAAAACTGGAAGGAAATAATTTTCTTAGGGCTTAAAGGAACCTTTATGGTCGTTGCTTATTTTTAGGCTTATTGCATTCACAGTAATTCAATGAGACATGAATTCTGATATCCTCAGTAAGATTTACCAGAATACCTTTACTCCCAAAACATGTTCCACTTCCAGGGCAGCGATCATGGCAATGAAATATAATTCGAGTGCATTGAAACTCCGTGGAAAGAGGGGGCAGCTGAGCTCTAAGAGAATCCAATACATTCACCTGGATACCGCCCATTCCTCTGAGAATGCCTTGACACGACTGACATACCATCGGCTGTTAAACCAGTTCCAAACTGAGTTTACCCAGGAGGAACACAAGTTGTGGCGGGGTCTGGATTCTTCCTCTGTTAGCTTAGTGGGGGGCAATGACACTCAGATGTCCCCACGGGGCAGGAACCAAGTTATACAGAGCAACTGGACAGATGGACCCAAAGGAGCTTGGTCAAACCATGACCTGTCACCCACGCCGGATGAGGGACACTGTGCTTCCCCTTAGCGCTTGGGAAATTTTCAGTCACGCACTGAGGACCTGGGGTATAGCTCAGTGGCAGAGCACCCACCCAGCATGTGGGAGGCCCTGGGTTTGATCTCAGTGCTCCCCAGATCAAACCAAACCAAAGCCGAAAACAATCTGGTACTGAGCCGGAGACAGCCCTTTGTGTTGGGGGAACAGCAGCCGTGTGGGTTATTTGTGGAGTACTTACTATGTGCCCAACCCAGAACCCAGCATGTTGTGCATCTGTCTCCTCCAGTCCTCTCGATGGCCCGATTCTGAGCTAAGTTACTACCACCTCCACCCTCACATGAAGAAACTGAGGGTCTTAAGGTTTCTATAACTTGCCTAAGGAAGTACAGCTAACACAGGACAGTCGTCCTCTCCCTACTGTGCCCATGCCAGAGGTCACACCCAACACACGCACATAAGTGTCTTTCTCCCCAGCCCAGAGCTGGGTCTCTCATGGGTGTCTGAACAAGGGGATTCAAGCAAGAGAGGGAAATGACTACCGGTGCTGAGAAGGTTCATGCAACAGTAAATAAAAGGTAACTGATGATTCCCCCCCACCCAAGCATCTAGTTACTCTGGCATTAAAAAGCCCTTTTGATACCCTTTTACTGTTTTGTTTTTCTTTAAATAAATTTTGTAAAAAGCCCTTTTGAAATAGGAAGCCAGGGTAGCTCAGTGGTAGAGTACTGCCCCCGAATGTGCAAGGCCCCAGTTCCATCCACAGTGTGTACACACACACACACACACACACGTCATGGGTTGGGTCAGGTCCTACAGCCTGCAATGGCTGTAATACCAGTAAGTCATGCTACTACACAGTTCACAAAGAACTGTGATCTCTCTGAACAAAACCAGTCCCAGACTGGCCAGCTGCACATCTACAATACGTCAAGACCCAGTCCTCCACTCGGGGTCTCTTCCCTCTCTCACCACACACAGCCCACTCCCACCCGGACCCTTCCCTGCTCCCAATGCTCTCTCCATGCCAACCCAGCCTCCTCAGTACTTTATCTCCCTCAGACAGAGAAACCCAGCCACGTCCTTACACGGTGCTCAGACTTCTGCTGGTTCCCAATCACCAAAGCGTGAAAACCATGTTCCCCACCTCTGGCATCTGAATCTCTGTGACAGGCAACAGGTTCCCCTGCCTCTCTGCCTCCCTGGCCCCATTCCCCACCCTGCCCCAGCCCTGGGCCTGGGGGCAGGCAACTGTGGAATCTTCAAAGAAGCCAGCTGCAAACAGAACCTCCCTCGGAGCTCACCAGGCCCTGTGCTCCTACCTGGGCGACTCATAACCATCCCCTCTGCATTAACCGCCTCCGCCTACCTGAGCAACGAAATGCAGCAGGTTCATCCCAGGTTTGTTTGCTTTTGTGTCTGCCAATTTGAGCAGTGAAGACAGTTTAAATCCTACTGCGTTGCCAGCATATCCTCCCTAAGGAAGACAGCAGAAGAAAGAAATATATGATGCCTTCAGACAAGGACAAAGCAGACAACACAGCAGACAACACAAATTGTTTTGGGTCTTCCTTACCGCATTCATGATATTCCCAGCCTGGAGCACCAAGTGCAGGATTGAATGCAGCGCCTCACAGGACATCAGCTCTGCCAAAGAGAAAATACTGCCCTTCAAGAAGCCTCGCCACACCCAGGCAGGTGGCACATCCTGCCTGGACACGGGGGGACAATGTGCGTGCACAGAGACTGAAAAGCCAGCTAAGCAGGACATTCTACAGGGTTGGAAGTGGGTCGCTCACACTGGCCGTCTGGCTCTGCTGTTGACCCAGGAATCAGACACGCAGGACGGTTAAACATCGTACATATACTGGTTCCATAATGAAAATGTTCAGGGAGCAAAAACACAAAAGCCTGATGAAAGGCGGCACTCTGTGTTCCAGGAGTACTTTTCACTCCTCGATCATTATTTCTGTACTTCTCTCTCTGTATGTATCTGTTCCTTTCTGAGGCTGTCCTCAATGCAACAGGAAAATGGCTCGCAGGCAACATTTTGCTTAGCCCATGAGTTATGAAGAGATAAAAAATAAACAGCCTGGAATGACACGTAAATAACATGCCCAGCCCAGACCATGGGGCGGACATTGGGAACCTCTTTGCATTTTATTCAAAGCTACACGTTTCACTCGGGTTGCCTAGCAGCTTTAAAAAGGAACTTATCACTACACTACATTGCTAAGTGAGTCTTTGCTAACGTCTAGTTAATGCACATTTATATAAAGAAACACAGTTTAAGGGGCTGGGAGTTTAGCACAGCGGCATAAACACCTGCCTTGCAAGCAGGCGGTCATGAGTTCAATCCCCGGTACCAATAAAAAAAAAAGAAAAAAAAAAAAAAAAGAAAGAAACACAGTTCAAGTTTTTTAAATTTACTTGAAGAACTAAGAAAAAAGTTTGGTTATTAAAATTATACTATAGATAAATAACAAAGTGTTAACAATGATAGTTTCAGGTTATTACTCACCAGTAAGTTTGTTATTATGTTCAAAAAAATATGTGAACCAGGCACGATGGTGTACACCTCCCACCATAGCTACTTGGGAGGCTGAAGCAGGAGGATCACAAGGTCAAGGGGAACTTGGGGAACTCAGCAAAAGCCTATGTCTCAAAATTTTAAAAAACAGGCTGGGGATGTAGCTTAATGGCAGAGCACCTCTGGGTTCAAGCCTCAATATGGGGGAAAAATGGCCTTCGGATGGCTGCCTGCATTTCATTATCTAAGAAGGCCAGCTTGGGAAGGTTAGGAGATAAGGATGGTTTCCTTCATGCTCACAATGTGCATTGCTCAACAGGAGCGCATATTTCTTCCCTTACTCTTTGAACAGGAAGCACAATCCTCCCAAAGTTGCCGCAATGGCCTTGGAATGCTGGTCAGCCCAGCCAGACACTGCGACGCAGCCTCCATATTGCAGTGAAGAACGTGGTGGGGTAAAAAGAGAACATGTCTCTTGGTACTGGCCAGAGCAAACAAATGGGCTAATAAGTAAAGAGCTCTATAAACACTGCTGGAAATCTGGCCAACAATAGGAGGCATCAGGCAGTGTCAACAGAGTTTCAGGCCCAGGGAGGGTGGAGAGGGCACCCAAGTTCCTGGCCACGCAGCCAGGAACCAAGGCCCCCAGCCTGCCCATCCCAACAGGACAGTGGCTCAGAGAGTGGCCAGGCTGCTCAGTGACCTGGAGCCCTGTGCAAAGGACCAGCTCATCCTCTCAAGCCCAAAAGGCCTGGTCTACCCAGATGTTGGACTATGGAGGAAGCGAGGACAGGAGAGGATGGCACAGAATGGGAGCCTCGGGGTCCTGGCAGGCAGGAGTCACACAGACACACCATCACCCTGCGAGGCCCGAGGAGGAGTAGGTCTGCTTCCAGGGAACCCAGGGTCAGCCAGCAGCAGTCTAGGCTTTGTGCAGCTCCAGAACACCTCGGGCACACGCGACATGCATACACGCATGTGTGCACACACACACACGCTACATACCACACAGGCCACACCTCACCTGTGTACCACACAGAGAGCTAACTGAGAAGAGCAAGTTGCAACGAGCAGGTTTACTCTGGCACCTGAGATGAAAGAGACTCTCTTTCATGGGAAGATAAAATGCAAAGTGACACTCAAAAGAAGAAAAACGTGGAAATACACTTTAAATGCAACTCTAGTAATAGCTTGCTTCCCTTTTTAGTTTATCATAAATGGGGCTTTCCATTCCTGATTTCAGCTGAATTGGAAAAAATTTCTCCTACCGAAGTGAAGGAAATGTACTAAAGGGAGCACCATGTATTTACTCACCTTTTGTAGCACTCCTTAAAATTGTTATATCGGTGTATAGAGAAGAACAAGCATGTAAAAATTCCTTCTTTAGCACCATGGCTTCGATCCGAAGTGAATAGCTGGAAAATAAAAGGTAAAACTGTAGAGTTCGATGTGGGCTAACGATCTGACTGGAGAGGTTAAGAAGCGTGAGCTGCCCTTACTTTGGCACCTGAATCAGGCGGTGCATGAAGGAATCTGCCAGCGAGAGCTTGGCCACATCGCCACTGAAGGCCTTTAACTTCTTTACCTGAAAGGCAAAGGGGAAAGGGTCAAGAAAGAGATTACTCATAAATAGTTTATTTAAATGTCTTTTTAGACTCCTTCTAGGAACACAGGATCTCAGTGCTAAATTCAGGTTAATAAAATGCAGACTTTAGAAAAGACTGAAAAGGGGAGCTTTACCACCACCACTTTTTAAACACTGTTCTGCGGTACAGGACTTGGTATTGGCAGGCTGGAACCTGGCCCGGGCTGCTTCGCTCAGCTTCGCCCTCTGCCTACCCAGCCTGAAGGAGAGGAGCTGGGGGCACTGACCAGAGAGAGGATGTTGCATCCTAAACAAACCAGGCAGCCTGGGCCGAAGCACTCGGGAGGGCTGCCAAAGGGTGGGCTCTGAGGACACAGTTTCCCTACATCATAATCCGGGCACGCAAACAGTGTTTGAAGAAGGAAGAAATCAATGGTCACCACGACGTGCTCCTGTGAGTCATGAGGAAAAGGCCTCTTACAAGAGTTTTAGATATAAAATACTCAGCCTGGGGAAGGTCTAACGCAGAGCTGTTTGTACTCCAATTCCACTTCACAAATGAGAGTTTACAGGATGGGTCATGTCATGCCTGCCTGCCTGCCTGTCTGTCTGTCTCTCTCGCTCTCTGTCGTGCTGGAGACTGAACTCAGGACCCTGTGTGGAAGCACACGCTGTATCCCCGAGCCACACCCCGCCTGGATAACTGTACCCTGAGGTAAGCACTGCCTGCTCTCCAGCAGGAAGGTCAAAAGGAAAAGTCATTCAGACAACTGAAAGGGCAATATCAGGGCCCCCCTATGATGTACAGCGCCATTCCCAATGGCCGAGACACAGAACCAATCTAGAGATCCGTGCGTGAATAAATGGTCAAAGAAAGCTTGGTACATCCATGCAGTAGAAAATTACTTGGCCATAAAGAAGACTGAAGTCCTCAGCTGAAGAAACAGGGAGGAAATTGGATGATATTACGCTATATAAAATAAGCCTGACCCACACAGACAAAACCCCATGTGGAAGCTAGCATGCAAGGGCTACAAAAAGGGGGAGGGGGGACTTGAATGTAAAACAGTGATTACTAGTGTTTGCCAAGGGAGATTGGATTTGATCACTGTGTATCACGTACATGTGTTGAAATAGCACACTCGGGGGCTCGGGATTTAGCTCAGTGGCATAAGCACCTGCCTTGCAAGCAGGCAGTCGTAAGTTTGATCCCTGGTACCGATAAAAAAAAAAAAAAAAGAAAGAAATAGCACACTCAATCCCATTACTCCATACAATGTTAATCAAAAGTAAAGTAACAAAAAAACCCATTTCCACCCCCCTAACAGGTAAAAGTAGCACATACCGCAGCATCCTATTTCTGTCAATTTAAAACACAAAAGGTGTGTCCAGCTCCCAGCCCTTCCACACACGCGCCTACACACAAAGGAAAAAGACTAAAAGGGGCCAGAAGCACCCGGAGACAGGATTGCAGGTGACCACTGCTGTCTTCTGTTGCTATTTATAGTTACCAAAATGCCTGTCACAAACATGCGTGGCTTTAAAAAAAAAAACAGTGTGGTGGTGCACACCTATAATTCTGCCACTCAGGAAGCTGAAGCAGGAGGATTGTTGAGAGTTTGAGACCAACCTGAGCTACAAAGTGACCTCACAGCCTTACATCAGGAGACCCTGTCTCAAAAACAAACAAACAACAACAACAAAAAACCCTTTTAGACACAAAAATATTCCTTCCTCCGTAGTAAGGTAAAAAAAGTTGTGTGTGGGGGAGTTCTGACATAGTATGCAGCCAGCAGCTAGCAGGAGGTGGAGGCAAAGAGAAAGTTCTCAGAGTACAGTAGAGATCGAATCCCACATTCCCCACACAGAAAATTGCAGCCCGCCAAGGCAAAACCAGTTCTGAGGCCACTGTTAGTGGATGCTCTTCCAACAACACCTTTACAGAGAGCAGCCTCCGCACGCTGTCAGCGGAGGACGCACACGGCCCACCTTCGCAGGACTGCGGTCAGCAAACACTCACCTGCTACCCTTTGTATTTATCAGTGCTGGGGATGGAGCCCAGGGCCTCCCACATGCCAGGTAAGCGCTCTCCCACTCAGCTACACCCCCGGCACAGTACCCACCACATTTTCTGTGTCTTTTTTAAGACAGGGGTCTTGCTACGCAGTTCAGGCTAGGCTTGAGCTCAATTTATAGCACAGACTGGTCTCGAACTTGCAGCAATCCTCCTGCTTCAGCTTCCTGAGTGTGTTGGGATTATAGGTGTTCAAGACCACGCCCAGCCCTAAGATTTTTTAATTTTTCTTTTTGTGATACTGGGGGATGAACCCAAGAACTCTATGTTCAAAAATCCACTAACTGAAATATCTACTTTAATTATTTGAAAATATCAAAGAACAGTGCAAAATCACAACCTAGTATTAAGTCTGGTTCTTAAGATATTTTCCCCCGGTGTTGTCACAAGGCCTTGCTCATTCAAAGCAAAAACCTTTTCACTGTGTCCCACTCTCGATCTCTTATTTTAACAAGGGCAAAAAGAAAAAAACTATTAAAAATTGTATTTGCTCCATGTGCAAAGGCCCAGAGTGAATTTACCATCTTTGGGTTCCTAAATGTAAGGGCACCTGGCATCTCTGGTGGAGCTGAAAGCAAACCAGTGCCTTATTTCTGAGCTGAGAATCCCTGGAATGAATTCTGGCCCCTTCTGGAGCAGAGCAGAACCATTTGCTACATATGGGCTGGGCACACGAGGCTGTCTGCACTGCAAAGCCCTCTCTGCCACCTCTCAGAGATTCTGAAGATCACAGCCCAACTTTGGCCTGAAGCACAGGAACAGGCCGAGCTAAGTAACCCATAAACGTTTCTGTTAAACACAGCCTAAACTGTAAGCGAGCAACTCGTAATCTTCTTCACTTATGGGAAAGGCTAGAAGTGTTTATAGCGTGCAGGAGAAGGTGATGGAAAGACAACACTTCATTTCAACACCATGCAGACGGTCCTCCGTTCTACTTCAAAATGATTTATATTCATTAAGAGGGACGAGTGTACCTTCCCGGTGGTGGGCCAGGCAGAGAGAGGTGAGCTAACCCTGTAATTAGTATGTGTTTCCCGTTACCAAAGAGCCTTTATTAAACTTTGTGTGGCATAGTTTTGCTGGTCGAACCAGGAGATGTCCAATATGAACCCTGGCTGGCCTTGGAATGGCAGGACTGCCACAAACACACCCACCTGCGGGGGCCCTGGGCCACACCGCTTTCCTCCAGCAGTGGCAGAGGAAAGGAGGAAGGCAGGAAGAGGATGTAAAAGTGCTAGTGGTATAGCATGGCCTTGGCAGGTGTGAGGCCCTGGGTTCATTTCTAGCACTGCATCTGAGTTCACACATGTGTGCATGCACACACACACACACACACACACACACACAGGCACACACACGGAGTCCGGGGGAGGTCCCACAGAGAGCAGGAAATGTTTCGCAGCAGCACCGGACAGGAAAGGGCAGGGGCCTGGGGGGCTCCTCCTCACCCTCCACCCTGGGTGCAGGCCACTTGGCGGGAGGACAAGGAAACACTCAGGCTCACGGTCCTGGCCATGGCGGCCCTCTGTGAGGTTAACTACACAAGCTGGGGGAAGGATGAGCGGACATGCCAGATAAAAGATCTGCCGTGCAGGGCAGAGAAAGTCCTGACAACAAATTGACCTTGGCTTTGGCGGGCTTTGTTAGCCAGGCAGGCAGGAGAGAAAGCGCAGTTTCCGCTCACATTTGCAGTGCGCTGATAAGACTGCCAGATCCCGGGTGGCCCTCGGCACACCGGTGCCTGGTGACGGCAGAGGTGAGAAGGCGCAGTCCAACGACCTCTGCCCTTCCTTTCTCCCAGGGAGTCGGTGGAGCACATCAGAAGGAGCCGCTGGCTCCAGGGTCAGAGATCACCCAGTTCAAGTCCACCCCGCCTGTCACCGTGCAGGTGACACCCTCGACCCGTGAGAGCCACAATTCTTCTCTGTGAAATGAGGAGTGTCTTGCAAGGCCGTGGTAAGAAGCAAAGGAGAAAAACACACAAAATAATCTCAGTGGGACGGCCTGCCGGGCACTGGGCTAAGCACTTCAATGCATTACCGCTGCCTCTCTTTTGCCCTGCCCGGTGCCTGGCACAGAACGGCACTCCACAAATGTTAGGTCCTTGCCAGTGCTAGCTAGGGGCACAGAAAGTTACCCACAGCTTGGGGACACTTGCACACTCACTGGCGTGTTTCTGCCAGGTCCTTGAGCCTCTCTTCCCTGGCCCGGCATCCATCCTGCCCTCAGGCTCCAGCCTCATCTGGAGGCTCCAGGGCAGCCCTGACTCTGGGCAGTGCCACGGGCCACTGAGGCTCAGCCCTGAGCCCCTGTCCTTGCAGCACTGTGTCTGTGACTCCTCCCTGCACAGCCCTGATGCACAGCTGATTCTGGGAGGGGTGGCCATAGGGGACAGCTCAGGGCGTTACTGCCGCAGGAGGCTCCAGGATGAGGAGGGTGTGGTGGGCTGAAGCCAAGGCCAGACAGGGAAACAAGGAGAGAACAGTGGTGGCAGTGGCTGGGTGGGTGGCAGAGAAGGAGTGTGAGGGGCCCAGCCAGGGCTGCACCTCAGGCAGTGACAGCGTGACAGAGCCTCAGAGACACACAGTGGGACTCTCGTGAGTCTCCTCATCTGGCCCCTCCACATGCCTTCCTTTCCAACAATACCCTACGTGCAACTCCAAAAGAGAAAAGAAAATCAGGGAGGGTGTCTATAAAACATGAGGGTTTGAGAGCTCATCTGCTTCTCTGAAAACCCCTTCAATTTGTCTAGTCACCTCTGAATTTTAAATGTGATGTGAAGGCACTGGGAGAATTGTATTTACTCTCCCATCGCGGGAGCATGGAGCCGGCAGCTCCCTCAGGCCTGAGCTGCGCTGAGTCAGAGCTTTGCAGAGCACTTTCCCATGTGCTATGACTGGATCCTCACTAACAAAATGATGAGGTCAGCTAGGAGTGGGTATGAAGAGCAGTCCTTGTCAGGGGAAAGCCCAGGCAGGAATTAAGACTTCATAAGCAAAGGATGCAGAAAAAAAAAAAATTCTGTAGTGCTAGAGACGGAACCTACAGCCCTGCAGACACCAGGCAAGCATGAACCCCTGAGCCATATCCCTAACCTGAAAGCAAATAAATCTTTTTATTACTCAATTAACTTAATTAAATCTTACCCATCCTATCAAAGATCATAAAACTCCTATTCTTGACCAGAAAAAAAAAAGCGAGATTAAAGACCATTCTGTGTATAAGACGCAGGGTAAATTACAGTCGAACATATCTTTCCTTTCACACTTTAAGTCCCTCCACGAACATTAATAAATGCCACGCACTAATCTGGGCTTGGTAAATCACACTTAATTTGCAGACAGAAAACCCGAGGTGGGAGAAAGCCTCGGTCCTCAGCTGTACCAAGACACAACGGGAGCCTGCTGTTACCAACCTCTGCTGCACTGGGCAGCGCGAATCTAACATGGGTCAGCGTCCAAGCAACAGCACAACTCTCTCATTATTACTGGCACTGAAATCCCATAAATTACGTCTGGGAAAGAGTGGGGCGGTGGAGTGAGGAGACAGCAGCATGTGTGAGGAGGATGATTTACACAACAAGCCGTCTTGGCCTTTTATTTATAAAAATCTTCACTTTTACTTAGGAAATCTTCACTTTACTTCAAAGTTTTGTAAGATTCTATATTGTTTTATTTCAGTCTCTATAACTACATGTACTTTAGTAATTTCTTGTTGAATTTTCCCTCAAAAATATGTATACAATCATTATACTGCTTTTCATTTCTTTTCTTTTTTCTCTTGCCTTTTGAGACAGGGTCTCACTATGAAGCTCAGGGTGGCCTTGAGCTCACTTTGTAGTGCAGGCTGCTCTTGAACTTGTAATGATCCTCCTGCCTCAGCCTCCCAAGTGCTGGGATTATAGACATGAGCCACCACACCCAGCTTTTTCTGTTTTTCCTTACCAAACCCGTAACCATTCAATACTTTCAGTTCAGTCCACACAAAATAGGCATCTTTATATTATGGTGCTTTTTTATCTGCCACAGCAATTTCCATCTGTCAGTCCATTAGGCACATACCACGTATTAACATTTACCTATCTCTAATTTATACAGCATCTTTATCCAAAAATGTTTCCTTTGTTCCTTTTCTTTTTTCCCTTTGAAGTATATGCCATAGAGTAGTATAAAATTACCTGGGTTCACCTAGGCAAAGGTCGTATCTAGATGATGGAAAAGAAAACTCAAATTTATTGAGCTCTCACGTGCCAATGAAGAGCAGCATTTCCAGTGTTGCTCACCTTGACAGCCTGGGGAGCTCAGGGTAACAATCTTCATTTCACAGGTGAGGAAACTCAAGCTCACAGCAGCTAAGAACCTTGCCTGACTTTTTCGGTCCAGGTGTAGCTCTCTCTGAACCCAGATTCTGTGCCTGCCTGAGCTCGGCGCTCTCTGTCCGCTTGCCGTTCACTTTAAGCAGGAAAATGCTTATCTCCAGGCAGGACAGTGCCCTTCCCTGGGAGCTGTGACACCCCCACCCCAAAACAACGAGAGCTTTACCATCACCATGACCCCCGAGCTCGTATGCATCTCACCTCTTCTGATTTGGGCAAAAGCTTCAGAAATTCCCGCAGTGTCTCCGACCCATACTCCTCACTCTTTCCCTGGTGGATATCTTCCACGATGCACTGAGGAGACCTTGAAGAGACAATGAACACATTCCATGTCACAGCCGTTGGAGAGTACCAAGAGTGACGTGTGCCAGAGGCACACACTTCCTTCCAACTCGCCTTCTTCCCAGGGTGCCCTAGGGTTCATGGCAGTCCCACTGCCTTCACCCAAAGACTAGAAAACCATCCCTGGGTATCCTGCAGCCACTACCGAGAGCATCTCTGGGGAAAGAAAGATACCTCCTTTGCTCCCGAGGATTCCCTGCCTCCCTCTGCTGGAGGACCTAACGGTTATCGCTGCCTGGGTCCAACCTCCCTGTGAGGGGTAACTAAAGATGGGTCTAGAATGTCCCTGGGTTGATGGTTTGCGAGGACACCCTGGCGTCTCACTTCAAGCCCCACACAGACTTGCACGGCAGCCAGTCACAGACACTCGTGGATAATGAAGCCCGTGACTACGAAGGACCTGACGGTAGGAGGAATGCCTTTCGCTCCTACGAGAAGAAGGTCAATTTCAGGCGGGTCACACCCATAGATTTTTCAATGGTGACCCCTTGGATATGACTAAGGTTTCAAATGTGTGCCAAAATCTTACTTTTTAAATTGTTTAAGAAATATCCCAATGTTCATGTTCCGCTTTGCATCCAAGATGGTAATCTGAAAAGAAATAGAGACACATGAGATTATTAAAGTACAAATCAAAAGAGCTGGAGGGAAGACAAGCATGGGAGCCTAATAATGCACAATACTAATTTACAAGAGAAATAATTACCAATATGTAAACTTGTTGATCTGCAGATATAGCTAATATAGCTTTGTGAATATTAAATTATCTCCCCAAACTTTCTGCCATTTCCCTAATTTTGAAACAGATACACTACGGTAGCAGGAATCTTAGGAAATCTGAACTGAGAAGTGTTGCATATATTGCAAATTCAAGCATACTGCAAATTGGGTCCCAACCCTGATTTGCAGATGTCAAAGGGCTAATTTTATTATTTTCCGAAACATTATAATGTTCCCAATTTGTTTTTAAAAGAAAAAAAGATTTATTTATTGAAAAAGATTACTATATGTCCAGAGGTCCTTTTAGAAGGAAATGTCCTACATTTTTTGTACTCTGAATTTTTTCCCTGCAGGGCTGGGATAGAACTCATGACAGCCAAGTGTTCTATCACTGAGCTGTATCTCTAGCCTTTTACTTGGGATTTATAAAGAAAATTCCTGTGCTGTATGTATTTCACCAAGTTTAAGACACATAATTTCATCATTTAACATCTCTGGAACAGGATGTTTCTCACAATATACAGCATCTTCTAACTTAAAGAAATACAGTACAGCTATGTGAATTACGGTCAAAACCTAGATTTGCACTGCAATACGCTTTAACTGTTCAAAATTAACACTTGGGAGGATTTTATCAGACTAGAAATAGGAATCTTTTGGGCTGTTACATGCAGAAGTCATTTCTTTCTCCAGAAGTAAATATTCAAGATGCACAGAGAGGCGATCACCTAAAACTCCTGCAATGTTTTCCGCTTGTTTTTTGGTAAAGGGAGCAAAAATAGGAATGTTGTTGTAATGTTCTTCCTTTCCCAATGTACGTGATTCATTGTGAACAAAAGGGAATCAGGTTGCAGACGACATTCCTGACCTCTTGGTTTGCTTCTAAGTTTACAGGCAGCAAGGCTGTGAACCAACATGAATGTCATTTCCTGGCCTTAAGATTACATTTTTACAGCAGCACCGCTGCCTTCTTTTGAGGACTAATCTTAAACAACCGCATTATTTTACTAAGCTAGGGGTTCAGTTCACGTCCACACAGTCACCTGCCAGCCATAAAACAAACCTCCAGGCTGGAAAGGCAGACTCCTACTGAGGGGATGCAGTTCAAGTCCAACTGAAGGAAGGAGTGAGCGTGAGGGAGAAAGAAAGGAGAAAGGAAACCTAGCAAACCTACACTCGTTAAAGAGGAAAGGCCACACCAAAAAGAGGCATCTCAATTAGTCACAACAGAAAATTATATTCAAGATTGTAATTCACAAATTAAAGAGCCCCGAGTCTAAACACGCCCAGGAATCACCTAGCCACATACACAGCTCACAAGCTCCTTCTGCGTTCTCTTCTTCCGAGCGGATGGCCGATTTCACCTGACTGCAGACCTCCCAGCTCTGGTGCTCTGACTTGGCCTAGGTCCATAGCCATTGATGCTGGGAAAGCGATGGAAATCCCTTATTATCCCCATTTGACAGATGAGGAAACTGAGCCTTAGAAATATCATTTTATAGCCTCTCTAAAGCAGTACAGAAGTGTTGTCCTAGCTCCTATGAGTCTCAGGCTACCCCTGCCCGGGCCTGGTCTTCCCCCAGCCTGGAGGTTTCCAGGGAAACAGAAGCGGACATGTAGAAAGTGGCCACCTAGCTGGGCAGAGTGGTGCACTCCTGTAATCCCAGCACTCTGGGTGCCTCAGACAGGCAGCACATGAGTTTGAGAACTGCCTGAGCAGCTTGGCAATTTGGTGAGATGCTATCTCAAAATTTAAAAAAAATTAAAAAGGTCTAGGGAAGTAGTTCGGTGTCAAGACCATATATTCAATCCCTGGTACCAAAAAAAAGAGAAAAAAAAGAAAGAAGCCATCCACACTGCCTGGCCCAGGCCCCTAGTGACCACAGAGCCATGCGGGCCAGTGGGAAGTCGCTTTCTCTCCAAGATCCCAGCCCCCCGCAGGGGACCACAGTCTACACAGCAGCAGCGCCCTGGTCACTCAACCCTAAGGGAAAGCCCTGAGCCAGCCATAACTGAACCCCTTAGAGAGCAACAGAGCTCCACGCTGAGCCCAAACAATGCAACCGGGACAGCCGAGGGCACCCGGGGCCTGTCCCACGCTCTCCCTGCTTCCCTCAGCTCTGCCTAGCCCCTGAGCAGTCTTGGTCTCACTCTTATCCTACTAAAACTGGCCCTTCTGAGCACTGCCGTAAAAGCTGTGTCCAACTCCTGCAAGGAGGGTTATCACTGCGGTGTCATTTACGCCTGCTTATCTCATTTTGTAAACACCTTGGCAGTGAATCCAGCTGGGCCCAGGTGGAGGCGCCCAGACAGCAGCTGTGTCCAGGTCCATGGGCACAGAGGGAGATCTAAGCTGCCGGGAATAGGGAGCAGCCAACTGTGCCAGGGAATGAATGCACTGCTGCCCCTCTCTTCCACCAGCTCTCATCAACCCACAGTCTACCCTCCTGGCCAGCAGCAGGACCTGCGGTCCCTGCAGTCAAGGCTGTATCTATCAGTAGGACCAAGGAACAGACGGCAGAGCACATGCCACTACTGGTGGCAGGACATGGGTGGGACAGGGAGGCATGAATAGGAGGCTATAGGGGGGTCATGCACTCCACGCAGCTCAAGGATTTCCTGCAAATGTGAAGGGGACCTGGATGTAAGGAAGGGGTACCCAGCAGGGTCGTCAGGTGGCTGGGGCTGTTGTGATGTCCTCTGAGATACCGCGGGAGCCTTGCTGATCTGCTGAGGATGAGCATAAAGGGATGGCTCAGTTAGGATCCACAGCGATGCTTCTTGCAGTTTCACTGGACTTCAATTCACTCAAAATCTGCCCCCCAGGAGGGAGAAGCTATTTTTAGTTGTGGTCAACTGCAAAGGACATTTATTGCTGTGATCATTTTTAAGCACATCCCCCTGGTCCTGTAACCATCACCACCATCCATTTCCAAAACTTTTTCCTTTTTTCTTTTTCTTTTTCTTTCTTTCTTTTTTTTTTTTTTTTTTTTTTTTTTTTTTTTTTTTTTTTTTTTTTTGTTGATACAGGATCTCACTATGCAGTTCGGGTAGACTTGAACTCATTATGTAGCCCGGGCTGGCTTCGAACTCACAGCAATCCTCCTACCTCAGCCTCCCCAAGTGCCGGGATTACAGACATGCACCACCATGCCTGGCTCTAGAACCTTTTCCCTTTCAAAACTGAGCTCTATACACACTAAGCACCAACTGGCATCTCCCTATCTCCAGCTCAGGACCACCACTGTTGGTCTGAATGTCATTAACTAAAGTACCTCTTATAAGTGGATGCATACTTTGTCCCTTTGTGACTGGCTTACTTCACTTACCATAATGTCTTCCAAGTAGGAGCAACTTTGTAAATCACTCAGCTTCAATATGTCAAGGGGCTCTCTTACCTTCTTAAAGGGACACTAAATACTGGTTATTTTGATCTGAGTCCTAATTCTGAAAAGCACGAATATATATTCCTCTATCAGCTGATGCAGATTTAGCTTTTGGTTTCTAACCTTCTTTTTATTTTTGGTTGGTTACTGAAAGTTGTACTCCCCCAATTTTGGGGAAAATAAGGGTCTAGTTGAAGCTCATTTAGAAAAGTAATAATTCAAACCAAGCATGGTGGTGCATGCCTGTATTTCCTGCACTCTGGGAGTCCGAGGCAAGAAGACGCTAAGTTCAAGTCCAGCCTAAACTCGAAATTTAAACATTGAAAAAGGCCTGAGGATATAGCTCAGTATAAAGACCGTAGTGCTGCAAAATCATCTGATCAATCAATCAATCAATCAATCAATCAATCAGTCGATCAAGTACTCTCTCTAGATGTATGGGTTTCGGTCAGGACCACGCTCCAGAATCTGAAGACAGCCCTGGGATCACAACAATAGCTGAAAATGATTCCTCCCTTACAGCGTGGGAAAGTAAAACATTGATTCTCATAGATCTGGAAAAAGCAATCACCCTTCCTTCTCTTTCATCCCCTACCTCTGTCTCCTTCTGGTCCTCTTTGGCCAGCGAGCTACTATAGTAATGTATGCAGTCAGTTCCACGGAGCATGCAGTTCCACGGCATGTGCTCTGCCGTCTGTTCCTTGGTCCTACTGATAGATACACGGGTGTCATACGCAACGACAGCAAACACTTCGGCATGCGCATCTTTTTGGTGAATCCCAGTTTGGATCTCTCCACACATGGAAGACAGTCCCTGTCCCTACCTCAGCTCTGTCCTGCTCGTTCACTTTTAATTCCTTTTAAAGGAATCCAAATAGCTAAACGCATACCTGCCCTTAGGGGCTGCTCATATCAGACAGGGAGTCACAGACCAAGCTAATGCTGGCGAGAGGGCTGAGGGACATCTGTCATGGCCAGCCGGAGCTCCAGGACTTCTCGGGATGAGTCCACAATCTCAGAAGAGGGGATCAGCAGAGTCCTTTCATTACGATCCCTGGTCACGCACCTGTGTTGTCACCAGTGACTTTATTACAGCTTAACTACTGTTGAACTGCCACACTTCTATTCCCTGCAAGTTAATTCTTATGTAACAAAGACACGAGGGTATATTCCTACTGCTAACTGTTCAAATTTATTACCTTTTGTGCTGTTCTAAACCCAGCCATTCCCCAACCAAAATCTTCCCTATCGTCTAGCAAATTCTTTTTCTGGAATACAGTGGAATGTATCTGTAATGCTTTCTAAGCCCTTTTAGGTAGGAACCCACCACACATACAGAACTCACTTCTGTGGGAGGATACTGCTGTCGAGGGGGCAATCTGTCCTAACATGTTGATGCTGCTTATTCCCCAGGCCACCTGGGCACAGGTATGGACTATTACTTTCAACCTTGGACTCCATTGATTGCAGAGGGAGGTGGAAGATTTATTATTGATCTTTGTCAGACTCTACCACTGCTGAGCTACGACCTCTTCAGAGGTAAATCTATGAGAAAGAATACAGCGGGCACCATCTTCTTTTACTGAAAATACAGGATCTAATACTTCTGTGGAGAGAACACAAAGTCTGGAGACCAATTCGGAATGACCTCGGTTCTCTGGTGGTGTGTGTAGAAAACACTTGAATGGATCCATCCAAACTACTTATAACCGTGTACAGAAGAGCCACAGAAGGAGGCTGTCCTGTGATACTCAATCATGCCAACCTTCTTCCAGGATGCTGTCTCTCAGAGGAAGTCCTACAAGGGTCAGAAGTGAAGTGCTCACAGCAGCGCTACTCAGAGGGTGAAAGCAACCCCAGCTGCCCATCAGTGGGTGAGTGGACAGACAGAATGTGGTACGGACATATCACGGAGCATTATCTGGCTTTAAAATTCTGACATGTGCTACAACATGCATGAGCTTTAGCACATTGTGTTACATGAAATAAGCCAGTCACCAAACAGATGGACATGGTGCAATTCCACTTATACGAGGCACCTGGAGGAGTCAAATTCATAGAAATGGAAGCAGAACGGAGATGGAGGGGTCACAGAGAGGGGAGAATGGGCAGTTACCGTTTTAAGGAAAGAGTTTCAGTGCTGCCCAGTGAACAGGTGCTAGAGAGGCTTAACTAGGACATCCTCAGTACCACTGAACTGCAGGCCTGAATGTGGCTAAGGTGGTGAGCTTCACGTATGTTTCATAATTAGAACATGTCAGGGTGCAGGTGGAGCTCAGAGGATAGCACTTGCCTGGCACACATGAAGCCCTGAGTCTAATCTCCAAAATGGTATGTGTGTGTGTGTGTGTGTGTGTGGAGGGGGCGGGGTGGGGAACAAGTCTTAAAAACAGACATTAAAGGGAAAAAAGTAAAAATCAACCTAAGCAGCAAGGGTGGAGGAAGGCAAGGAGAAAGACGTTTTTCTAAATTTTAGTTCTAGCATGGAGATGGACGCTTCTGCTCCTGCTGCAACTGGGAAAGGGTGTCCTCCCTCTCCCAGGGATTCGAGATCGCCAGCTTCCGTGACCACAAACACAAAGCCGCACAAACACACACAAAGCTGAGTACTGCAGAGTACTCAGAAATTCTCCCAGCTCCCAAAGGACGCTGCCACCTGTCCTTAGCTGACCACTGGCTCCCCAGGGACGTGGCCCCTTGCACCCAGGCCCAGGCACACAAGCACCTGTCCCATCATAACCCCCATATACTGAGCTCACTGGGAGCGAGGCCAGAGGTCATGGTACTAAGGAGAGAGGACTTCTTGCTCCTTCCAATATCCATACCAGGGCGAATGATGGGACTCGGCACCGAAGGAAGAGGTGGGAAACCCTGCACTCAGCACCAAAGGAGGTGGCCCGGCTCTGCTAACAGCTTCCTATTTGACTGCTCACGTGGCTTATTTCACAATGACACCATCCCAGTCCTGTGTCCCCTGCGTTTCTGAATGAACACAGGCTCAGGAACCAGGAATCATCCAACAGCCTGAGTGAGGGCCTCGAGTGAGTCCATAAACAGACGGAGCTGCCACGTTCCTGAGCCAGACACGGAAAAGAGGTCATGACGTTGGCTCAAGAGCTCAATAATGCATATGGCAGAGACTTCACCACAGCGCCCTGCCCACTTCCTTATCTAGCCAGCTCCTTGGCTGACCTATTTTCTCTGCTCCTTCGCAACAGATTTAAAAACAAAGGATTTGTCATCTTTTCTCTCTCCCTCTCTCCCCATCCCTCCCTCCTTCCACTCCCGTATTCTTTCCTCCCAATCTCTGATCACCTAGTTATTTCTATTAGCAAGTAAAAGCATCTTAACTACCACCATGTGTCCACTCTAAGAATACTGACCAGCACAGTCTGGGTTCTGTAATATTCACTGATCAGGAGCCCTGGGGCCATGCTTTCAGTGCATGCTTTGTCATTGAACAGCTGGTTTTCCCACCTGTGAAGTAAATATTTAGTCTTAACTGGAAATATGCTTCTTACAAAGCCAATCCAATCTGAGCGGCCAGGAATGTAGCTCAGTGGTACAGCAGCACTTGCCTGGCAAGCGTGAGGTCCTGAGTTCGATTTCCAGTACCAAAACATAAAACAAAAGCCTATATGAAAGTAGCTCTATGCTTTAGCTTTCTGGAAGTCTCTGTTTCCACCATGACACAATTTCATTCAGAGATCTCAGGAATGAAGGCTACCCTCAAAACAGGGAGAATAGAACAAGAAAATCCTCAAGATCTCCAGTAGCTACTGTTGAACAAAAGCCACAGAATTCTGTGGCACTTCCAGTTCATTCCAGAACTCAGGGTTCAGGAGAGCGAAGCTATCGGTGCCAGTGGGTACCAAGAGTCCTGGACCTGAGTCCAACTCCCCAACCCAGAGACCGCACCAGATGAGCAAGAGACGGGTGGTGCTGAGACGCGAGTCCGAGGCTGTCTGACCAGCATGCTCCCTGCCTGAGGTCACCGTCCCCTGGACACAGGAGGCTTAGCGTGCACAGCTCCTACTGGCACGACTGAGCCCTATTCCCCTCATCTGCGGCGTAGCCTAGCAATTGTCGGAAACCCCACACCATCACAAGATGCGAGACACAAACACAGACTCAGCCTGCATCCCCACATCAGTCTCACCTCCTCTCGCATGTCCTTGAAGGATGAGCTCAGAGGCCCCCCTCTCTTGGGCAGGGACGGCCTGGGCGTGTCTTCCTGCTGCCCAAAGAGCTCCTCTATGGTCTTCGTGTCTATCTGGAAGTGATGCTGCCCCCCGGCACCCAGGGTCCAAATGTTGGCCTTGCCACGAACTTGCTCCTCTGGAATGGTGCTCCAAAAGAAACTCCTCATCCGCTTCTTCTTCCCCAGGGAGCCGAAGGTGTCTAAGTGCGGAGTCAGAGGGGGTCCTCCGGGAGGCGGTGGAGGGGGTGGGGGAGGGGAGCAGGAGGAGAGGGCTCCCCCAGAGTGGGGACATGGCAGAGGGGGAGCGGGTGGAGGAGGAGGAGGAGTTGGAGGAGAGGAGGGTGATGTCTGCCCGATCATGAAGCCGGCTGCGGCGGCGATGTTCCCATTTCCTTTATCGCTGGCCAGGGAGACACAATTCATAACACGCATAGTACTGCTGCCTTCTAAGGAGAGGATTCCTCAGCCTTGGGGAGACAGACACAGACATCAAACTCGGGTCGTCCTTCTTCGCCAGCGAGTCGGCTCCCAGGAAAAAAAAAGGCTCCTGTGCTGTGTCTTCTTTCAAACCTGCCAAGATAAAATGAGTTTCCAATCAGTGCAGGCAAGCGGTTTCCTACTGGCTTTTCCCTCAGATGCCAGAATATGAGTCCATCAGTGGACATTAACATTAAGGAGAATATCCCAGAGGGGGAAAGAAAGGAAGAGTTTCTAAACGTGAACCAAATTTTACTGTCCCAAATAAACAATGTCAAAGCAGCAGGAATAAACCCAATCCGGAACCGAACCCTTCCATGGATCAATAAAGCACACATTTCCTGACAGCCCGCTATAGGAGCAGCAAGCACTGCTTGTCTTATGAATGCACAACTTGTTCACCAACTGGTTCATTTCTCTGGGTGATGAAGACCCAACCCCTAGGGAAACTGCCCAGATTGCTGAGGCATTAGATACTTAGTGACCTGCCTTCTGCCAGTCTGGACATGTCTGCTCCAATCACTGGGTCAAAAGGCATCTTCCACCTTGTGTGGAATAGGTGGGGCCTTTGGAGATGACAAAATAATAGCCCAGCTCATTTCTCTGGAGTCATGGCCACCATGCTTCTCTGGGTGACACCCCCCACCCCCACCCCGACAGAGGAAAGACTGCCAGGCACGAGGATTGCACATCCCAGGTCTAAACCATGCTCTACTGACGACCATTCAACACAAGTCACTTCGTCTCAGTAGACTTTGGCTCTCTCTTCTGTAAAAAGAGGGCGGTTAGGTTAAATGGCCTCTGTCATCTGTTCGGATGGTGTCATGTTGGAGTCTAGCCAAGCCACTTTTTGGAAACCATCAGAAATTACCACGTACCATTTCTGCTTTTGCGACACTATTAGTAAAGAAGAGGCACACAGGAGGACATGGTGCCCCTATCACACCTGCCATATGGCCAGCCTTTATCCATAAACATGTGCTGCCAACTCGTATCTTTTAATGCTGGTTGGTTTTTTTTTTTTTGGCTTTGAGTTGTTACTGATCTGATGTGAAACAGCATCAAAACAAGTACATTTGCTTCCAGGATAGGACAAGTCGGGGGGTGCGGTGGATGAAGAGACTCCATGTGTGGTATCAAGGGAGCACCCTACTAGCTGGGAATACGCAAAGGGACCTGCTTTACTCTGGACTGCAAAGTGCCATATGCAGAGGCTTTTTACACGGGACTTCAGGGTAGAATCCTCCTTTCATAGCATCACTCTCATGGCCCAGTCTTACAAATATGCCATGGCTAAAGGATACCAGACTACAAGCGCACAAACTGCCTGATGTTTCTAATTCAAATAGTAGGAAAGACTCTGCATAAAACCACATTAAAAGACAGGACTGGCCTGGGAGTGAGGCTGCAGACTCTGGAAACACACTGCTCTTCCTCAGAACAGTTCTGTTACTTCCTGGATGTGCAACTGGAGCCTGTGTGCTATTTAACCTACATTTCAGCCTCTACATTTAGAAAATGAGACTATACCAGTTTCATTGGTTTCTAGAAGAGTAAGTGAGCTAATACATGCACAGTTCTTGCAGCCTGCTTGACATACAGTTAGCTATCAGGAAGAACAGTAACTGCTCCTACATAATCATTTCCCTTTATTTCCTTTTTTCTTTTTTTGTCTTTTTCCTTTTATCGGTACCAGGGATCGAACTCACGACTGCCTGCTTGCAAGGCAGGCGCTTATGCCACTGAGCTAAATCCCCAGCCCCTCCCTTTATTTTCAACAGGCTCTGTTTGCTTTAAAATAGGTTTGGATTTGGAGATACAATGCCAAGCTACCCCTGGCTGCTAGACCTTTCATATGTATGTATGTGTATTTATATATATATATATTTTTTTTTCAATATTAGGGATGGAACCCAGGACCTTGAACATATCAGGCAAATGCTCTACAACTCAGCTATACCCCAGCCCTTTGTAAAAATTTTAGTTTTTACAGGTCTGATTGAAGAACACAGGTTGACCCTCAAATTATGATCCCCCAATACCAGCCTCCTGAGTAGCTGGGATTAAGAAGTAAACCACCATGTGTGGCTTTAGAAATACTTTTAATATTTCTATTTTCTGCTATCAAAGTTTTTAGATTGTGAGATTTGTCCTTTTTCAATACTCAATGATTACATGAACACTGTTTCTACAAGATAGGAACAAATATTTTCATAAATATTTCATTTTCATATTCAAGGTTTTGAATTTTATTTTTGGTGTAAGGAGTTGAACTCAGGGCCTCACACATGATAAGCACATATTCTACACCTGAGTCACATCCCCAGGCCCTGAAAATGTAAGTTTTGAAAACTGCTTATGTACCTATAGCAAATGCCATTTCCAACTATTAACTGGATAATTTTCCTCAGTGTAAACACTTCTGAGAGCAATTTAGTGGCAGTAAGTACCATGACACTGTGATACAACAATCCCCACTACAGAATTTATAAATAAGTAAAATCCAAAGTATGGATCCAAACTGACAGTTACTTTGACATGCAACTGGCTTTTAGAAAGAGCTTTGGTAATTACATTAGGGCATAACTAGGCTCTTTTCAGAGCTGGGATCCTTAGCACAAGTGACTCACTGTCAATTACAGTTTATAGTTATATTTGAACTCCTTTCTCAAGACAGTACAGGTAGCTCTGGCCGTTTATCTACACATACTTTAAAATACTGCTGTGTAGAAAATAGCTCATGTATGGAAGAGGTATTAATCTTCCGGTTCACCTTCATCTCCACATATGCCGCCCACATACGTATGTATCATCCCAAATGAGAATGCTGATAGCTGGAGGTGCAGAGCACTGCCTAACTTGCATGAGACCTGGGTTCAATTCCCGAAAGGCGCTAAGCTAAAACTCCTCCTCCTAGGAAGCAAAAACTCATTCTGTGTTGCCTCACAACAGGCCATGAGACCTTTCAATGCAAATGCAGAAATCCTCAAAGAGCAAGGCTATAAAGTCAGAGGTTAAACAAATGCTGCCATCTTCTAAGAGCAAAGTCCAAAAGGGTACAAGTCTTTTTGGGCGCTGTGCTTTGGACAGAAATACTACACCAGATAAAAGCTTGCCAAAGTAAACTAGGATGCGCATTAGCACTGCGCTGGCATGATTCTAATCCCTGCGCCGTCTTTAGAAAGAACCTTGTTTCTAAAAATTAAAAGAGGATCACCAGGAGTTCCAGGCCAGCCTGGGCTACACGATGAGTTCGAGGCTACCCCGGGCTACATGATGAGTTCGAGGACACCCCAAACTGCATAGTGAGACCCTGTCTCCCAAAGACAAAAACAAACAGTTCAAAAGACAAAGGACAATAGTCCCTAGTAAATGGGATGGCCAATATAACAAGATGTCCAGTGTTAAATGGTGACAGGCGGAGGCCAGTGCAGACCGAATTCTAACTTTCTGCAGTCACGTGAGATATTACAGTGGAGGGAACATAAAGAGCACCCCCTCTACTCCACAGCAGCCCACACTAAGGAGGCGCCAGCATGCCCTCAGGTGCACCGGAAATGTCAGGCAATGCACTGCCCTGGCCAAGGACTCTCAGGGCCTGTTGCTCACAGCTAGGCTCTGTCACCAGGGCCAACAGGACCAACCCAGCTGTCTGGGTAAGGACCTAAATGTCCAGTGTCCCAAGGACACTCCCCAGGACACTCTCCCCAGGACAGAGAGATGGGCTTGTATTTAACACCCTCCCCCAACAGCAGGTGACACAGGCTCAGCTCTCTTATACACCATGAGCTGCTTGTTTAGACTCTAAAGACCAGGACAGCAATACTAAGGGCGTTGTACAAATGACAGAGAGTTCCACAGGCTTTGCTTCCCGGGGTATTTACAAGCTATTTACAAGCGAAGGCCCCGGAGGGTGGGCTTGGAGCTCAGGTTTTCCTAAAAGTGGGTCGGCCAGCTCTGCCGGTGGGTGGCTCCCTCAGCCTCAGCTCCCATCAGCAATAATCAAAGTCAACCAGATTCCTGACATAGGTCTCAGATGAGGCAGGGGTGGAAGATGAAGGGGGCGGGCAGCAGAGCAATCCACTTCTGGAGGGTGAGGCAGAGGCCCCGGGAACCCCACTTTAGCTGGGGGCAAAAGAGAGCCAGCAGAAAGTTCCGGCAATGCTAAAAAGTGGGATTTTTGCTGTCACTCGGCTAATTCTTTTCTTGCGCTAGGATCTCGGAAAACCCAGTGGAACGCAAGCTGGGGCGTCCAACTTGGCACTCCCGAGCCTGCTGTGAAAGAACCCAAGACCGCGCTCCAGGCAGGGGCTTTAATTGTCACATCACTTAAACACTCCAGCTGCGCCAGCACACGCCCCTGCGCGAGGGAGAGCGCCCGCTTCCGAACGTTTTTTAGTTTCTGCTCTCACTGTCCCAAAGCCAAGGGGAGGGAAAAGCACACGCACTCGTGCCAAAGGATGCTCGCGAGAGGGAAGGGAGCGCTTTCCGTTCGCTCCTCGTTCCAAGAAGACAGGCGGGGGTCAGCAGAGGGGGCGGGTGCAAACCAGTGTCTGAGCCCGGCCACTGGTTCTTAAAAGAAGCGGCGTGGGGGCCCCAGGCACGATTTCTTGCAAGTCACGATTTCTGGATGCTGTGTCTCCGTTAACCAGCTGTAGGTTTATTGCCTTCTTCCGGCCCAAGCTCCGCGCCCAGCCCAGGCTCCTCGCCACAGCACTATCGACTGCGCCCGCCAGGATCCCGGGTGGCGGCGCTGGGGGGCCACAGGCGGGCAGAGGGCGCGCCCGGGTTGGGAGCGCGTCTCGGTGGGGACAGACGCCCCCTCGCGCCGCTCGGCCTCCGCAGCCACCTGAGGCCGGGACGCGCGGGGACAAGGTGGGCGGCGGGCCAGGGAAGGGCTACCCCCCTACCTTCCTTCCGCAGAGGCCCGCGGAGCAGCCACCCGCTCGGCCCGCCCCTCTGCCAGTCCCCGTCCCCGCGAATCCCACACCGTGCAGACCTCTCCGTCCCCCGCTGTCCACATGTCGCTCCTAGAAGCCGGCTGCGGGCGACTAACAAGGGGTCCTGTCCCTTGGCCTGGGTCTGCAACCGCCGCCTGACGTACGACCCACCCTCCCCAGCGGGGTGACACCTCCGTGTCCCAGTCGGGGTAGCAAGCGCCGGGAAAGCGCACTGCGTCTGCGTCCAGGCGCCCAGGCGGCAGGCACAGCCGGCGAGAAAAGGGCACCGCACCGAGGGACCGCGGCCGCCGGAGCCCCGCACACCACCGCGTCCGGGCGGCTCCTAGGTCGCCGCTTCCTCCCCATTCACCTGCGAGCGCCGGGCACCGCTCTGGCCAAGAACTTTTAGGGAAAGTGTGCAAGAGTCGGATCGGCGGGCGCTCGGCCCGCAGGGCCCCCCTGACCCCCGCGCTTACTGTGGCCGAGAGCAGTCCGGCTCCCGAAGTCCTCTCGGCGCGTCCTGGGCGGACTCCTACCGTCCCGGACGGCGGGATGCGCGCGAGTCCTGGGAAGGCGCAGGCGCCAGCAGTACAGCAAGCGCGTCTCGGCCTCAGCACCCGGCGCTGCCCCCACAGCCAGGTACCGGCGGCCCCAGAGTCACGGCTGGGCAGAGGGGGCGCGGAGCCACCCGGCCGCTCCCCGGCTCCCGGCCGACGCCTCCCCGCGCCTCCCGAACCCGGGGTCCAGCTCACCGCAGCCAGCGTGCCCGCTCCGCGCCGCTCCGGCGCCGCCGCCTCTGCCCGGCCACTGCAGGCCCGGGCGCCCGGGACCGCGAGGGGGCAGGGCGGCGCGCGGGGCGGGGCCGCCGCCTCAGGTAACAAAGCTGCGGCCCCGGCTGCTCCCGCGCCGCCGCCGCCGCCGCCGCCGCCGCCGAGGGCAGCACGCCCTTTCCTGCCCGGCCGCCTCCTCCGCGCCCATACACCCTGCGAGCGCCGCCGCCGCCGCCGCCGCCGCGGCCACCTCCGCCTCCACCTGCGCGGGAGCTGGGCTCGGAAGCCGCCGCGCGCGGCGCTCCTGGCCACCGGAGTCCTGCGCGGGCTCGGGGAGCGAGGGCGGCGGGAGAAGGGGCGGTCGGCCGCGAGCGCCCGTGGTGTCCGCGTGGACCCGGCAAGGAGCGGTGCCGCGTGCCCTCCACAAAGGAGCCTCTGCGGCCGCCCCGGGCCACGCTCTGCCGCACACTCGGGCCCGCGTGCCCCGCGCCACCCACGCCGGGTGCACACGCGGGTCCCTGGCCCTGGACCCTTGCGCGCCTGCTCCCCGCGGGCCGGCTCTTCCCCGGGGCTGCCAACCTGTGCCGTTCTCTATTTTTTTCAACTTCGATGACAGTGACAGGAGCCTTTCGATTGTATAGTAAAGGAAAAAAAAAAAAAAAAAAAATAAGTGAAACACACGCTGGCTCCGGTTCCCGGCTGAAGGACGGACGCCGGCTGGGGAGGGCTCCTCCCACTGCTCATCGAAGGAGGCAGATCTCTCGCATCGCATCTCTTTATTTTTTATTTTTTTCAAAGGGACCCGTGACGCCGGCCGGGGAGAAGCGAATCGTCAAAGTTAGCCCAGGCAGACCGGCCGCGCGGGGAGGCGCCTCTGCGGATGAAGTCATCGCCACCTTTGCCTCAGTCCCGCGCCCCAGCAAGGCTGCCGCGGCCCTGCAGCCAGAAGCCTTCCGCCGGCTGTGCTCCGGCCTCCGGCCTCAAAGCCGCCACGATCCTCGCAGCCCCGAGCCCGGTGCGCGCGCGAGCCAGCCAAGCCACGGAGCTCCGCAGCGGTGCTGCCACCAACCCGTTCCCAGCCACTGATCAGGTTATGCCTTCCACGAAAAGAAAAGACCCAGCGGAGGCCACAGCAGTGGCGATCCCGAATGGATGACACAGGGGAAAAAAATGCTAGAGCGGCTTAAAAGCGAGGCGGGGAATGGCGTGCCTCAGCTTCCTTTACCAGAGCGTCGTCGGACAGCGGGTCCACACCGCAGCCTGCTCGGAACTCTGGCCTCCGGGACGTGTACTGAGCATGTGCTCTCCGGAAAGGGCCATTTTCTAGAGCAGTGCATGGCGCAATGCCTCTGGTCCCGTCCACTAGGGAGGCTGAGACAGGAGGATGGTGTGAACCCTGGAGGTGGAGTCAGTGTAGATAATCTAGTGAGATCTTATCTCCCCCCCCCCAAAAAGGTCATTTTTAAGAGGTCAAGTTAGGCGGCCCATCCCCCAGCCCTGGTCCCTGAGCTCCCATCCGGGTCCTGGCCCAAGGGCCTTCTCTCTGCCTGCCTGCTGACTTTTCCTTTGAAGACAACCACGGAGCTCTTCCAACTCTTGGTCTTCCATTGGCCATTACAAGCCCGCAGGAATTGCCTTCCAACTTCAGCCTAGTTTGCTGAAAGCTGTAATTTGTGAGGAAGTTTTTGAACAAAACTCCATCCACACTCATCCGATCCAGGTGTCTCTCCCAGGAAGGGTCCAGGAAGGATGAAGGATGTGGAACCTGGAGCAGATCCATTCCTGGTCCCACCTGCCAGGGCCTCCAGTCCACATCGTTCCCGTCACAAAATTCACTCTGTCAGCTTCAACACGTCCTTCTCTCTGTCACCTAAGGCTGGCTTCTAAAGTTGAATCCCAGCTTTTCCTTAGGTTGTTTCCCCCTTAAATTCCCAGTCCACAAATTAGCCACATTTGCTGGCCTCCCTAAATATCTGTCACATCGCGTTGATAGCCACAGTCACACTGGCCCTCGTTGGAGGAAGGAGGAATGGATTCATGGCTATTTGCTTCTGGTTGTGTATCCGGCATCTTGAGTCTTAGGATAATCCTAGAAAACCTTTGTTCTGTACTCCTTGGAGAAGCTAAATTAGGACACCTATGTTCTCTACCCGTGTGTACTTTGACTCTTCCCTCAGTCTGTCCTGAAAGTGCTGTTAGATTACTGCCTTTTAAGTCCCATCTCATCACCTCACCCACCTTCTGTAGGCTATGTGGGTGACAGCCTGATCCCCTGACTGCACCGCCTCCCCCTTCCCCATCACTCTCTGGCAGGGTGTGCTGCCCCGAATAGGCCCTGCCTATTTGGACTTATTTTTCAAATTGTCATACTTAAGCAGGATCACTTAAGTGAAAGATCACAATTCTCAGAGCTCACGTCTTGCTGGGTTAGCTCAAAGGATGTAAATGTGGATAACAATTCATTCCTCTCCTGTAGTGCTAATACATGGCTCTTCACCCTCACAGAGCTTGTGCTTGTCTGCAAAAAGCTTCTGAGCATCCAGAGCCCCCACATGTGCTGAACAGCCCTCCAGGAAGACCTCAGCAGAGAAGCCCTCAAGTCAGCCCATGTCAGGCAGTGGGGGCTCCACTGGTGCTGCAGGGCCTAGAGCAGGAAGCAGAGCCCCTGCCCCTGGCCCTTGCTTCCCAAGTGAGCCAAGCCTCTCTGAGCTGGTCCAATGCTTGGTCTGGTAGTTGGTGTGGCCCAGGCAGTGCCAGGCAAGCCCCAGACACACGTCTGCCCTGCCTGTGTGGGTCCAGTTCCTTCTCCCAGTTCCTTCTCCCAGTTCTGTCTGCTTCTCTCCACCTCTACAGCCCTGAGAAGCCTCCTTGTCTTGTACTCCAAGTATTCTGTGTTTGAATCTGTCCTGAGGAACCACTGAACAAAGCTTTCCTCTCAAACCGCATCCAATGTCAGGGTCCACACTAAGGATTACAGTTCTGAAACACACACAGTCACTGATTTAAGGCACATTTCATCAATGGCTGACCTCATGGGCCCCTAGGCGTAGGGCTGAGGTGACTAACTGACTTTAAATCTCTCTCTCTCAGATTTCCTTTCCTTCTGCTTTTCCTTCTTTTTTGAGGTAGCCTGAGATTAACTTAAAATTGTTCATCTTTACCCTTAAAACCTATGTGATGAGACCAGTTCAGTGTTTATAGGTTGTTTGCCTCTTAAAATCAGAAACTGTAGAAAGACAGCCAGCTCATGACAGTCTGCTTTCTGGCAATAGCCAGACCTGAGAGAGCTGTTAGGATGTGGCTCATTCCTAGAGTGGAAAGAATAAACTAATAAAACCAGCAGAATCGTTACCGTCATTATGAATTCAAGTTTATGTCAAACATCTTGACAAAATGTAAGTATCACCTTCCTGGATGGAATCTTTTAAACAACTTTTGAACTGACAATATGCTATTTTATTTCTGCAGGTTAAGAGTAAGTTGCCCCTCAATGTAGAGTAAAGAGTAATTAGGCTTTGACAGTTATAAGGGCAGTTTTCCCCTCTGGGTTCTAAGTACTTATTTCTGAAAGTTTTAAGCAGGAAGTATTTCTGCGTGTGACGTTGGTATCCATAGCAACATCAACACATCTTCCTAGGGTGGAGAATATGCAGGTAGCCGTCCGCGTCCGAGCAGTCCCCTATCTGACCAAAGGCCAGCGAGATGAAAAACAACTCTTACCCAACCTAAAGGAATGAAGCAGTAGATCCCTGACAGCCTTTGTCTCTACCTGTCTGAGTGTATTTGCAGCAAGTTGTCCGCTTTCTGCTTTTTAAGGTGCATGTGTGTTGTGTGTATGTTGTCTGTTGTGTGTATTGTGTTTCAAGCTGTGAGTTAGAGAGATAAAGGAGAAATACTATATACAACACTGAGTTTCTACCCAGAAAACCTTCAGCTGGATCTTTTCCTCATCCATTTGGTGCTCAGAAAACTGGTTGGTGTTTGTTATAAATGGAGGCCTGGCTTACAACATGCAAACTATAAGCAGAAAAAAATAGCTTTACAATGGAACATGGCATGTGTGTTCTGATCTTTACTATTTTCTTCTATTCATTTTTGGTTTTATTCTTTTATTTTTAATTTCTCAAGGAAAGATATGAGGCTATTTCATCCCTTTCTTCTTTTTTAAATAAATGTACCTGGTGTTAAAAAAAATAGAACATGACAGTGTATTACCTTTTTCCCTTTGCCTGCCATAGAAAAATGTGAGTCTGAAGAAGAGGAATTATAAAACAGCAGGTCTGATGTCAGTTTCTTTTGCTACTGGTTTTGTTTCCACACTGTGTATCCTTGTTAAGAAGTTAAAAGAGCAAACAGTAATCTGAGACTGCAACACACACAGTTAAAGCAGTTCCCAAACAAACCTGATGGATCCACAATATTTGTGTGTGTGCGCGAGTGTGTGTGTGTCTTTGGTGGGGTACTAAGTGCACGAGCTGATGAGACTTTCTTTGTAGGGTATAGAAAGGTGGGGTGAAAGGCCTTGTTGGCGAGTGAGGAACTTGAAAAAACCTTTTTGTGTCCTTTGAAAGCACTTAGTTTAGTAAGAGCTATGGACAATTTCTTTACCCTAAGTTTCTGTTTCTAAGGTAAATACTTTGGTATGATAGTACCTAATGAGGCCAGTCCTTGGTAATCAGACTTTTTCCCACAATGCTGGGAACTGAACCCAGGGCCCTGAGCCCAGATGCTAGGTGGTAACTGTATCTTAATGTTCCTCTAGAAGATTTATAGAAGCAACTAAAATGGACCCTCTTTTGAGAAAGGAAAGGGTGAGCTTTCTGTCGAAAACACTATTAGTCAAGTCTTGACTGGCTGTGGCTACGGAGTGAATTCCTATCCACCCCTCCACATCAAGCACACCCTTCTGTGGGTCTGGGCAGTGGGGTCCGTTGGGAGTAAACCAGGGACTCCGCCCTTCATCTTCTCTCCTTAACTTGCTGACCTCCTATGGGAAACAAATAAATCAGGTCCTGTGTGTTCCCTGCGAGGGGCAGTATTAAATTCTTGACCATTCCTAGTTTAAAACGGATGAAAACTTCTGTTCCTCAGATTTCTAGTGTTTTTGTGGTTTGCAAAGCCGTGTGTTAGGTAAGAGTAAAATTCCATCTTACAGGCTACTCTGTTGCAGTTCCTCAGGAAAAGGTTGGGGAAAAGAGCATATCCTTCGAAGTCTCCCAGGTCCTTCCCCACTCCCCTCCATCCCTTGATGAAGGCCAAGACAGGAATTTCGGAAGTCCAGGTTTTGGATGTGTCGCACTCTTGTAGGGCGAATGCCAGGCAGTGCTGCTGTGGGTATTGGGGTTCACATGGCAGGAGAGGGCAGGGTAGCTTTGAACTGCATGATAGTGAAAATATCAGAAAACTATTAAATAAAATTGATCCTAATTTAGAATTAAAACGATTTATTAGGGTTAAAAAAGGAAATCCTTAGTGCTTCTTAAATTTTGAGACAGGGTCTCCCCAAGTCATTAAATCGTCCAGATTGGGCTCGGACTTGTGACCCCTCTGCCTCCATCTCTGAAAGTGTCGCCCTACACTGGATGATCCAGGTTTTTAACAAAAGTTACATGCTACCCTCCATGCAGTCAAAGCTCTGGAGAAATCCAACTAACATAGTTCCTTAGTTTCCATCTTTTCTGCCAGAGTAAGTCAATTTCTTCTTCTGCATTAGGCCACAAAATCAATACTGTGATAAAGGATTTACCTGCCAGAATTGTTGATAAGTTCCAGGAAGACATGTCTGTAGCTACTGAGTATTCCCTGGGTGACTCTGAAACACCCATGTGCCCCAGACCCTGGAAGCCTATGTAGTTTCACCCACACACGTAAACAGCTGGGTGGCTCAGTAGTAATACCTTCTCCTTCTGAAACACAGCAGCCCTTGGGCTGGCCTCCAGATCAATACTAAGTCACATATGTATCTGTTTCCTTTGTGGAGCTGGGAGTTGAACTCAGGACCTTACCCATGCTGGGCAAGGGCTCTACCACCCCTGGCCCCACAGCTATGACCAACAGCTCTCTCCTGATGATCTCGGAAGTTTACATGAATTCTACCACTGTGATGGTCCAAACATTCCAATGCCACTAAGTACGAAAGAAATCAAGCATGCAAGCATTCACACTGGATTGACTGGGAGCTGGGGAATGTATTCAGAGGCAAAACCTACAAAGGAAAGTACTGTCCTCCACTTAAGCTCTGAATATTTAAGATTTAGTTTGGCAGCATGGCTGGCACCATCTTCACACAAGCTGCCATTGTGCGATGGCCAGTGAATCCTTTCTCCCCACCCACCACACATACGCAGAGAAGAACAAAACCAGACTTCCCATCTGGAATCAGGATGGGCTACTTTCATTCCTAGCCACTAATAGTATGTTCTCCACTCTGGTCCCCGCTTCACGTCACTCACTGTCTGAGTATATTGATGCTCTCCCCATTACACCCAAAGCATGAGGGCAGGGCTGTGTTACTCATCATCAAATCTCAGCAGCATTTACTCCCAGGAATCAATCTGACAGTGGCCGGGTAGCTAAGCGCCCGCCCTTCAAACTTGTGATCTATTGCACAAGCAAAGGACACCGGTGGGCTTCCAGTTGCTCGGGGCCAATGGCCCTGGCTATGCAAACCATCACTGCTGAGCACCCTGAGCGCCACACACACAAAGACTGGGAAGGGAAAGAATGTCCAAAGTGGTTCTTGCCCTCCAATGGCTGCAGGAAGAGAATCACCAGCCCAAAGCTCTTCCAAGTAGGATTTCCAGGTAAGTGTGTGAGGCACTGCATTTTATGGGGAACTGAAGAACACACACCTGCACAGGCCAGATCAGGGGCTGCAAAACTGCTGAGGGGAGTTGAATTTCTTCATCTGAAACTTGAAAAGGAGCAGATGAAGAACACTGAGAATGAAGCATGTAGCTTGGATCTTCTACTTCTTTTAGGGTCACACTGCAGAGATGGGAAGTGAAGAGCCCAATGGCCTCAGTAAGATGACTGTCTAGCTGCCACTTCTCAGGGTACCTGTGCTTCCACTAGGCAACTCTACAAGACTCCAAAGACGCCACTGCATGGGAAAAATGGTATTATAATAATGAAAAGTCAGCAGATGAAAAATTAATCATGAATTATATTTCCCTTAACTAACTGAGCCATCCCAATTCACAAGTGAAAAGGAATTTACGTAAAAATGAGCTGAAAAGACCAGCCAGGCAGAGCTCTTCCTAGAATAAATCAAGGTCAAGGCTGAGGTCGCTGGCGAGGAAGTGTGGAGTGGCTGGGACTGAAGCTGCTTGTGCTGCAGGGAAAAAGGACTTGTTTTCAGGGCTCCAGTCCTGAGCACAAACAGTGGCTCCAAAAGCCTGGAAATCCAAAGACAGCACAGCAGCTTCTTATTACATCACTGCATTTTTCTTAAAGGACAAAAGGGCAAGTTGGAACCAGAGCTCGCTGTGTTTTACTTTGCCTTCCCTTGTGAGTTTAGGCAAGATCTCCAATGCATAAATAAAATAAGTAAATAAATAAATAAATTTTCTCAGGCCAGGGGCCATTTGGAATTTCTAATTTCATTTATAGAAGCTCCATTTCTTCATAGTGAAGAAAATGACGAATCTTTTTAGATAAAAATTCAAAGATGTTTAGATTATTATTATTTTTGCAGTGCTGGGGATTGAACCCAGGGCCTTTGCAGATGCCAGGCAAATGCTCTCTCTGAGGCACCCACAACCCCAACTCTTTCGATGACAGTGATGACTGCTATATCGGGGAACTGAACCCAGGAAGTGTTGCGTCCAGTTTTTTTGTTTTTAATTTTGAGAGAGGGTCTTACTAAGTTACCCAGGGTGGCCTGAACCTTCCATCTGCCTGCCTCAGCCTCCTGAGTAGCTGGGATTACAGGTGTGTGCCACAGCGCCTGGACCGTTAAATTGCTTTTAAAGACTTATACTGCAAGAAGTCTAAATGATGAGTTAAAGGTGTGTCCTCAGGTGGCCGCTTCCAGTCCAGGAAGAACTACTGGATTTAAGAGTCACATGGACTTCAGGGAGTTAGCAGAATCAGGTGATGAATTCAACACTGGAAGATGAGCAGTCATTCAGCAAATACTCACAACTGTTTAAGCTCACATACTTAGGGGAAACCTCGAGAGCCAGTGATTATATAGTGATCATCACCATGGTTAAGCTCAAAACACTGCCTGGGCTTCTACTGCTTCTCCTATGGATATAAATTAGGAAAATTTAATACCTGGTTATGTTCCTGGTTTTTAACCTGCAATAGAGGTGGGGGACAGGGATGACAATGTGACAATGTCTAGTATTTTTACCCGAGGGGTACTTCAGAGAGCTATTTTACTGGTTTAAGAAGTCAGTAATCCCAGCACCCCGGGAGGCTGAGGCAATAGGGTCACAGGTTCAGGCCTACCTCAGTGTGAAGGCCCTGGGTTCAACCTCCAGTACTGAAAAAACAAAACAAGACAAAACAAAACAAAAACCACCCTCTTATTTAGGGTAAACTTGGCCATCCCATAAAATCTTTTCTTAGATTAAAAGTTATTAAAAACTACCAGTGTGCCAATGTATTTTAAGCAGACTTAAATTATCATAATAATGCTATGAATGAACTGCTAAATTTTAAGGAATCTAGAGTTGTAGTACAGAAAAATATTTTGTGCTAATCTATGGGGAAAAGACAAAAAATAGCAGAGTAACTTATCTTAATTAAGCCAAAACAATGTTTTACTTTGGAGTTTAATTTCCCTTGCACTTATAAGTAGCCACACAGAAAATACTGGAAATTAACTGAGGAGAAAAATGAGGGGGAAACTGTGGTTCACTGAATGCCCACTTTCCTATGTGGAATGGATTCTGTAGTCTCCTACCCTGAACTATTTCTGGTTCTTTGTTTGCCATGCTTCTGTCTTTTACTGACAAACAGAAAGCTATCCAATTTATACATACTCACTTGAGGTTCTGTTTCCACACACAACCCAGTTCCTCTCACACATCTGCAGAGGGTTCTGGTACTCGCGGGAACAGACGAGAGTGCTGGAAGTGTCGGAGCCAGGCTCCACTTCTGCGGAACATGGGAGATTTAGCAGAATCCTATTCTTTTTCTGCAAAGCAGACTTTTAAAATACTTAATGTTTTATTATGAAATACTCTGTAAAGTTTTAAAAGACTAATACTATGAAACCCCACATAGCCGGCCACTTGTTTCAACAACTGCTAACATCCTGCTGTATCTAAAACATTTTCCCACCAGGGACCTACCTCAGTGGCTTAAATGCTTGCCTGGCAAGCACAAGGTCCTGAGTTCGATTCCTGATTAAAAAACAAACAACAAACTGCCCCCACACATATTTTCCCATCCTTTTCTCAATTCCAAGTTTTTCTTTCCATAAAATGTATGAACATATGTGTTCATACATTTAACAGTAAGCTGCAGGTTTCACGCACTTCACTTTTAAATACTTTTGGGATCAACAAAGCGCTATCTTGTTCCTCTTACATCTTCCTTGTGAGTCAGCAAGTCACAGCTGAACCACAGCCGCACAAAGTTCATGATCTTACACCGTATACTTATGGCCAAGTCTTGTCCAGGCCCAAACAAAACAAACAAGGCTTTGGTTTTTGTGAGACATCTCATTCGTAACAAAGCTGAAGCTCCCAGCTCCCGCAACATACTGATGCCTGAACAGCTTAGGACTCACATTTCAGACCAGCCCAACTCCCTTCAGACCGGCCCAACTCCCTTCCTCACTCTGCAGCCTCCATGCCCCTTCAAGGGGCAAACACCAGAATAACGAACAGTCTAATTTAACAAGCATCTACTGGAGGAGCCAACGTTTACTTCACACAAATAAAGCTGAACTTCAGCTTCCTGTACATTGGGAGGACCTCTTGGCAATTTATTATAAAGAACCACTTATGCCAGGAAACCTGTTGAGCAGGAAACCTTCAAGTGGAAATTTAGAATTTAATGAAAGTCTTCAAAAAAGGGAAAGTCGTTTGCATTGTTCTATTTTAATAGGTCTTGCTGTATTATAAAGAGTAAAGGACCTGTGGCCTTGGAAAAACTTTGAATTAATGCAAAATATAGCATGTTTTTTGATCAGAAAATAGCCACTGTCAACTGGACAACCTTAGCCAATGTAAAAATTTGTAATCTCTAAGGGTTTCAATGCCTAAATTTGGTTAGCATTGAATTAAGAAGCATCTAGAGGGTCCCAATTCACCCAGGTACTGAACAGGTCAGGAAAATAGCTACCGCAACTGATATTTAGGATTACAAAATATGGCATCCTAAGTGGCACTTCATAAATATTAGCAAAAATTACACATAAATGTCGCACTGAACAAATAAAAATCTGCTAGTACTTTCCATACCTTGGGTCCCTCCAGGGAAAACTAAAGGAAATAGCACATTTTGAGGTGGATAAAATACTGTTTTTAAATATTAAACAGCCCCACGATAAAAAGAAATTTACCTCTTTGAAGTTTCTCTTTTTTTGGTTCTGGGGATTGAACTCACCACCTTGCACTAGCAAGGCAGGCGCTTATGCCAAGCTAAATCCCCAGCCCTTAAGTTTTTTCAGTATATATTTTACTTGATACTTTGACAGTATACATTCCACTTCAGGCTCACATGACTTGTTTTGCAAAGCACTATAAAGATCAATGGATAGAAAGGATGAACATGTTACATACTTTGCCATCCATTTGGGAGCAGATGAGTTCCTTTTTTTTCAGCTGGAGGACACCTTTAGGAGGACCTTGACCAGAAACACTGGTTTAGCTATGTAGCTAAAGTCACAGGATTTAAAGGGAGAAATCCATGTGTTTAGTTGCAAATGCTCATCTGGTACTAGAAGTGTGTAGGCTAGGTCGGGGCTTCATCTGTGAAAGAGGGCTAGCTAACCTGAGGAACCTTCAGGTTCCATGCTCTGGGATCCCAGCATCGTGTGTGGAACACGGAAAGAATACTTTAGAGTTCAGACCTCAGTGCGATTGGGTCTGTAGCATGGATCTTTCTTGGACCCTGGGATCTGGAAGCACTGGGATGGAGAGCTGCATTTCACAGACTGGCTCTTCAGGGTATTTTAAAAAATAATGGAAAAATCAACAGTTTCCACCATCTCCTACTGCCACACCCACATCTAAAAACTCATGATTGTTCAGCTTTTATCTATCTTCCTGACAGTTTTTCCCTTTCCACCTAAAACATTTATAAAGTGATGTCCTGCTGAGACCCCCCCCCCCCTTTTTTTTGCATAGTGGCTTTAAAAACATGCTGGCCTGGCCCTGGATGTGCTCCAGGAGGTATGAATGGGCACACTTCTTGAAAGCAAACAAGATGGCCTTCGAAATCTACAGACATACTTGGAGGGCCCCTCTTCTGGGGAATAAACATACCCTAAGGAAATAAGCAGGAGCGCAAAGAGGAACGCAGGCCCCTTAAAGGACATCAGAACCTGAGTTTATAACACAAAACCCTGGCAACTGAAAGACCTAACTTCAGCCTTAGGTCCTTGGTCACTGAGAAGCCTGTTATTATCTTCCATGTTGTGAATATGAAATACTTTTCCTAACAAAGTTAATTTACTACGTTGCCTAGTACTGATCTCTTTTGCACAGGCACCCACAACTCAGTCATGGGTATTTTTATCACTCATCCACAAAACTAGCTCTTGCACTGCTGTAACTGTTAATGAAATGTGCTAAGACAAACCTGTTCAGTTCCCAAAGAAGATTCAGGCGGAGGGAAAAGAATAACTTACTGAGCATGACAACTGTAAGTAACAGAAGCACCATTTTTTATTTTCCTTGTTTTTTCCTTGATTTTTTCACAGGAAAAAAATCGTATGTCCTCAGAATTTCCAAATAGTTACTTCTAATTTAAAACTACAAAGGTCAGAGAAATCTGGTACTGCAGCAAACACTTTTAATAAGAATACAAAATTCACACCGAGGCACATCTGGGGAATGTCAATGAACTATCATAAGGAGTTATTCCGCTGGAAGAATAAAATAAGGCTCTTTTAGAGTACAAATGTACAGAGGGAATGATTTAAAATAAGTTTATGATTTACAGTCACATTACATTATATTAAGCACTCAGAATAGGCATCTATTAATTAAAAAGCCAGCTAAGAGGCATTTGAACATATATAACAAATCTTACAATCCATGAAGTTCATGTATTACAGTAATTTTAAGTACTTCATTTCAACACAATAGAAATGAACAGAAAAACAGATCTCTCTCAAAATATTAATTTACGTCTATGATAAAATCAAAGGGACTTTACACATACAGAAGGATCTGTTACTGAGGGACCACATCACATAGCGAGTTTGCACAGTGAAGCCAATGCTGGCCTTTCCAGGCACCTCTCCGTGACTGCTGTACCTTTCCTCTGCTCAAATGAAAAATCCTGTCTTCTCCTTCTTCAAAAGGAACTGAGGAACCAAACAACAAACACAAAGCTGATTTCACCATGAACTGCCAGTGTGGTTAATGAGAATGAAGAGCCCGACACTGATACATAGTGTTCCATGACACAGAACAGACACGCCCAGCACTATGGGAGAGGGGCTTCCTATGGGCTATGTACATCTGTTGAGTAAGAATTACTGTATTTGAGAAGGCACATATCTGTGATTTAAGGCTTAAACGGTATTATTACGTGGAGGTCAAGGAAAGCTCTTTAGGAATTCACTTCTATTAAAGTGGAATTTATCCAAAACCTAGCTCTCTCAGTACAGATTCCTAATCCAGAAACCACTGAGAATTTCCATTCTCAAGTCCACTTGTTTAAAAAAAATTTTCTTTAAAGTAGGTTTCATTATAAATCAAAAGAAAAGAATTGCTAATGCTATTGTCCAATGACTTTGGGTGATACAAATTCACAAGCTTAAAAGCTTTACAGAAATGACAGTGTAATTCCTGTGTCTTTAAAAAAAAATACACAAATTACAATGGTACAGATTCATTTTTAAAATGGTATCTGCCACAACCCCATGAGTCAATCAATGATTCTGTAGCACTGCCATCTCTGTGGGTGCTGAGAACACATATAATTTACTCTGCAAAATAGTTTCTTTTTTCTTTAAAACAATACATGAAAATGACTGCCATAAAGATGTTTAATATATTCATATATAAAATATCTGATGTTGATACAAATCACATAAACCTCCCTTTGGAAAAGTTACAACTGGCCCTCATTTCTAGGACCAAAAACTTTAAATTTTTATCTTGTCAGTGCAAATCTATATTAGATATTTTCAAACTACAGAAATAGCCATCAACCCTCAAAATACAAAAGGATTTCTCAAAAAGGAAAATTATCGTGTTCAAATTATAGAAATAATGTTTACATTTAAGCCACCCACCTTCCTATCAAATGGAGTTCAATTGTTAAAGTATGAAATATTAAAGCTGTTTGTGTGAGAATCACTACATGGCTGTCACCCCTCACCATCCCCAGCTCTCTTTAACTCTTATCAGGTGTGCTGACAAATACAATGACAGAGCTTTCTTTCCTTTCCAGGTGAGACTTTACTGTTCTTCAAGCCAGGAAGGGGCATCCACTCCGGGCGTTTTCAACTTGATGTGGAACTGTTTCAGGGTCTGCTCCAGCTGCTTCTGGTTCCCAGCGAAGTAGGCAGCGATGGCGTTGTGGAAGAGGACCAGCTGGTTGTGTAGCACTTTAACCTGTGGACAGGGCAGAGCGACAAGACTGAGCATTTAACGCCAGTGACAATGACAGTGAAACAGAAGGCGACTTTCTGTACTCCTGGTGAGACAAGAGCCATTTTAGTAAGATAGCGGCTGTTACACACACAGCAAGCACACACCACCTGGCAGGGCCACTGAACCTATGACAACTTTCAAATCACCCTAAAGGAGAGAGGCCACTGAAAGATGCTACATGGATGCTTTGGTTAAAAAAAAAAATTCTATTTTTCAGTGCTGGGAGTTGAACCCAGGACCTCCATGTGACTAGGTAAGCACTCCACTAAGCTAATCCCCAACCCTGGTAAATAATTTGCACACATTGCTGAGTGCATCAATTAAAAATAGCCTTAAATTTCCCCTCAAACTAAATCTACTAACACCTAAATTACTGAAAATGGAGACTTACAATTACCATTCGTTACATACGATATACCAGGTATGAAGACCACGAAGGCTAAGCTTATGTAAAGGTGGTGTATTCTGGGCACATTCAGATCTGCATTCTCTTGTAAAGAATTAAGCAGTGGCAACAAGCATTTACCAGTAAGGCAACTGATAAAATCCCGATGACCCTCAGTTATTTTCTTTCTTTCTTTCTTTTTTTGACCCTAGTTATTTTCAATTGCTCCTTACTTCTAACAGTTGCTGTTTTAAGCAAGTAATGCACCCCTGTGACTTTCTTAAAGAAATAAGCAAAGCATCACAAAATCTTGGCTCAAGTTGTTTTCAGACTGTTTATAACTGCAAATGCTGGACAAAGTATAAAATAATTCTGATCTGCCCATCAATGAGATTTTTAATAATATAAAAACATCTAAACTATGATGCTCTGTAAAGACCAGATATAAATTCTGTATGTATTCGTTCGTTCTCTTTTCACTCCGTCTCTCAAAGTGAACCCTGGAACCCAGCTGCTCCCAGTGGCCTCCCCTGGGACTGCTGAGCAGGCGGGAAGGCCACTCATGAGGGTGGCTCGGTGACAGGAAGGTGCTGGGACAGAGTGGGAAGGCACCAGGATGACCTCAATAGGAGACAGCGGCTTAATAAACAAGGAGGAGAATTACACTAAAACTCAGGGAAAAGAGTGTCCCTGCACTGTATGTTATTGATGAAGGATACGTATCTTGAAAATGTGACAAAATCCTGGAGACGCAAACCAGCCCCACAGGAGAGGCCATGGATACCATGTTCTCAAAGGAGGAAACAGGAACGGCCACTTACACCTGAAAAGCCCTCTAGCCTCCTTAGGGAGCAGGTAATGCAAACAAGAACTAACCGGAGATGCCACTTTACACTCGCTACATTGGGAGACTTAAAACGAGAAGCCCTCGGGTCCAGCTGGGCACGGCCCTGTGGCCAAGTTTTGGCCTCTGTCCACACAAGCCTCTGGCCTGGGTTCAGTTGCCAGCACCGCCAAAAAGAAAGATAAACCGCATTTCTCCTACTGACGGTATGTAAATATGTACAATGGCTTCGGAAAACAATCTAGAATTATCTACAAAACAAAAGATTTACAGATAATGAGATTTAATTCCTGAGAATCTGCTGTAGAGAAATACCTGATCAGCTGTTCCAAGACAGAATAATGATGTTCACAGCAGTACTGTTTTCGGCACCAGTAACAGAAAGAAAAGAAGAAAGCGAGCAAGCCAGCAAGCCAGCCAGCCAGCCAGCCAGCCAGCCAGCCAGCCAAGGGAATCACTACAAATGTGTCCTCACGGGACAGCAAATCAGCAAACTGGTTTTTACACCACGCTGATGTGAACTGCGGCTCCGCACACCCACACAGACGGGGCTCAGGGAGGTTGGGCAGATTAAGTCAAAGCAAGGTACAGAGCACTTTGAGGAGGGCTCCGTTTGCTCAGGAACATACAGCTGAGCATGTTCACATGTGGTAAAACCAGAAAGAGAACCAGTAAGAAGAACCAACACAAATGTGGATGCAGGACCTGTGTGTGGTGGCACACGCCTGTGATCACAGCACTCAGGAGGCTGAGACAGGAGAACCCCCGAGTGCGGGGCTAACCTGGGCTCCATGAGGGAGTTCAAGGCCAGCGTTAATTACTACATAATGAGGCCTTGCCTCAGAAAGATGAGAGAGAGAGACAGACAGATAGACAAGACACAGAATAAGTCAGACGTAAGGGCAAAGCACAGAGGGGTAGGGGTCTTCAATACTTCTGACTTGGGTGGTGAGAACACAGCGCCATCTTTTATTGTTTTTGGTACAGTTTCTGTTTTGCCTACATGCTACATTGTGCCGAACATTCTGTTAAAGGCACTCATCTTTTTTAATCATGAAAAGAGACAGTTTGTGTGTCTGTACCCTAACTCTGTGGAGGTCCTGTGCCGCTGACCACGCTCTACCTGCAGACACCCCCACTCTACAACCAGAAGCCAAACGAAGCTTGGCTTGCGTTTACAGGTAGGTCCATGCCCTGGTCCAGCACATGTTCCCAAGGGTCTGCTCCATGTCAGGCCGGGCACCAGGGCTGGGGACATGAGTAACTAATGAAAAGGGAACCATCTCCACGCTGAAGGCTGCTCTGCTCCACAGCGGGAGGAGAGGAGGCCAGGGCGGGGGGATGGGCATGCTTGGCACGGTCTTGGCGGATTACAGCTGTCACATTCAGAAACCACGGCAGAAAAGGTGTAGCACACAGGATGCAGGATGGTGACCCTGTTGAGAAGAACACAGCAGCACTGGGGAGGTCTGAGGGTGGTCCTGCCGGGCACAGCTGAGTGGGGACTTAAGGAGGTGAGGGGGAAGCCTGGAGACAGCTGAGGAGGAGGGAGAGCAGGAAGGAGGGGAGGCGGGAGGGGAGGACAGCTGAGAAGGAGAGGAAGGAGAGGAGGAGAATTGAGGACAGGAGGAGGGCTGAGGAGAGGAGGAGGGCTGAGGAGAGGAGGAGGGAGAGCAGGAGGGCTGAGGAGGAGAGGAGGAAGGCTGAGGAGGAGAGGAGGGGGGAGAGGAGGGCTGAGGAGGAGGGAGGGGAGGAAGGAGAGGAGGAGGGAGAAGAAGAGGGCTGAGGAGGACCGATGAGGAGGGATAAGGAGCACTTCTAAGTGTAGGGAAGGTGGACAGCAGAATTCACTGACAGTGCCAGAGGAGAACAGAGACAATCCAAGGCCTTTGCCAAAGCAGCCGGAAGGATGGCGCTGGAAGGCTGCAAGAGGGAAGGTGCGGAAGAGGAGGAAGGTGATCAGGAGCTCCCGGCGGGAGTGCCACCGAATCTTTCCCAACGGCAGCCAGCGCTGGGGTTGTCATGTGGGGGTCGTCAGCACCCAGGTGACATTTAAAGCCACATGCCTAGCTCATCATTGGAGTGGGCAGACAGAAGTCATTCAAAGGTCAAGTTACGCGAAATGAACCATGCCCCTTGTGCCTTGAAACATCCAAAATCCAGTCCAAAGTGACTCATAGGCCTGTCAGGGCTAAATTTATAAAATTTATAGGATTAAAATATAGAAAAAAAATCTTAGTCACTTGGGTTTGGCACTGTACACCTACAGTCCTGGCACTCTGGGAAGCAGAGGCAGGACCACAAGTCTGAGACTAACCTAGCAACTTAGCAACTTGGCCAGACCCCGTCCCAAAATACAAAATGTGTAGGGACGGAGCTCTGGAAGGAGGCCCTGGGTTCAGTCTTGAGTCACAAAGAAACAAACAAAATACTAAGCATAAATTAGAAAGAAAAACATCAGTAAACTGGTCTTCATGAAAAATAAAAATATTTTCTCTTCAAAAGAGACCTCTGAAAACGAGAAGCCATCTGTAAAGTACGTATTGAAGAACTTGATAGACGCAGAAGCTGCAGCTCTCACAGACATTTGGTGAGAATATAAAATTGTTTTTTGCAAAGTTCATCAAGTTTCTCAAGACACGGGCCATGTAACGCTGTGACCCAACCCTCCACTCGTAGGCATTTGCCTGAGGGACATCTGTCTACGTCCATAGAAGGACTTGCACATGAATGTTCGTGGTTTCACTTGTAATAGCTTAAAATTGGTAACCACTCAAATGTCAATGGACACTGATTAGATAACTAAGCAGGGCTGTTCCCATGCAGTGACTCTGACTCAGCCATGAAAAATGAGGAGTGAGAGGTCCAACATGGAAGGCCATAAAGACACTGTGTTCACTGAAGAAAACAGAAACAAAGTGCAAGAACCATCTGATTCCACTCATGTAAAATTTAGAAAATGCAAGCAGCTTCTTTTAGGGCTTCATGCTAGTAACCTACTGAACAATTACTAGCAAACAGGCTTTTTGTATTTTCACTGTGAACGTCCAGTTTCACAAATGGGGTCTGATCAGTATTTTATTGCTCTTTGGGTCACAAAACTTTTTTGACCTGAATTTAATTTCTAATGCTTTAGAATTAGGGATGGGGGTGGGGGACAGGGAGGAAAACACAGGCTTTACTTTAGGTACTGGACCTGCAGTGCACGGTAACAACAGTCTAAAGAGTAACTGTCAGAAGGGGGGAAAGGCGAAAGAACATCTTTAGCTAACTCCACAAACGTCAATGGGAGCCAGTTCCTCTGCGGCCCTGAGAATGAAGGCCGAGAAACCTCAGCTGGGTGCTTTGGCTGTGCTGAAAGTGGTCCCAGCCCTGCAGCAAAACCGTCCAGGGGCAATCACAGGAAGGGTGCCGGTTAGGACTGAGGTCTGGTTCTAACAAAACCTTCCCTGCCCACGTTCACAAAACTGTTCTCTACTCCTGTGAGAAGGCTGATGTGTAACCCTCTTAAAATACACATACTTCAGAGCAGCTGTTGGTGTAGATAGTGAGTCACAGCTTTGCAATTATAATGAAAACCCCAAAGTACTACAAATGTAAGAATAAACTTGCATGTCCACGTTAGTATCAGAAGCTACTCATTCTAACATATTAATTGTTTCATTCCGTCTTATACCAAAGCAGAACATTTAAATTGTTTTTTCTATTAGCATTGATTACTGTAACTTACTA